GGAATAAAGCTGTCAGGAATATCCAATATTGGATCCAAAATGTTGTGTTATAACCGGGCTGTGCGAACTGCAGATTTGGACACACAGGCTCTTGGACGGGACCGTAACTTGACACAACAGTTACACTACCAAAAATAGGTGGCATAGGGAAACCAGGTGGAAATTTGGTTTGGGCGGCGTAACTGAATGGGAAACGGTTTTGATCGTGAAAGGGCTGTGAAGAGAATACCACTCGTCATGGGAGATGGAGACTTTACAGGTAGGAAGAGACTAGTGCACTGTACATCCAATTGAAACAAATTTACGAAAGGTGGCTTCAAAGCTGAGAAAACCAAGTTTCCGGCCAACACACGGTTTGGCCGTCAAGGGCTTTTGCGGTCAGCTGTTGTGTAGTACTCTGGTTATGCGAGGGGCTGATTTTCGGCACACAGGTACTTGGACAACCGTAACTTGACAAAACACTTATTATACCTAAAAGAGATGGCATAGTTTAACCAGGTGGAAATAGTTTTGAGCGGCGTAACTAAATGGGAACCGGTTTTGACCGTCAAAGGCTGTCAGAAGAATACCATTCATCATGGCCGGGAGGTGCACACTTTACAGGTAGGAAGGGACCAGTGCACGGTACTTCCAGTTCGAACAACTTTGCGATAAGTAGCTCTAAAGCCGAGAAAAAAAATTGTTGTCTACAAGACTCGGGGTGTCAGCGTTTTCACATCCAAAAGAGGGCCGATCAAAAAAGAAAGCATGCCACATAAACTTCCATACTCAAACATCGATTGTCCATTGATTCCAAGTTTCATTGCAGTTTTTCTTAGATTCATATTTGTCGCTTTTTGTACCGTCCGAATCTTTCTTCATGAAGTACAGACTGCGTGCCATACCGGTCCGGAAATATCATCGACACGTACGATGAGGACGAAACTTCCTTGGAGGGCATTCCTTCAACGAAATTCGCACTGCATACCCGCGAGTGTGGAATGGCATTTCAGCTGAGATATGTAGGCGTTACTGGTACGAAAACAAACGCAGAGCGCAAAGCGGCAGTGTAAAATATGTCAGCCCTGCCGAGTGGCAGACATGATCGGGAGACCAAATGTCTCGCGTCGTACGGCACGGGTCCATCGTTGTTGCTGTCCCACAAAACATCGGCGAGGTGAAAAACTGTGAAACTTCGTCCCCACGAGATACGACGCATAACTAATGGAGCACTTAACGACGCAGCAGCTCATGCTGTCAACCCAGCGCAACCGCATCGCTCCGACTTCACTGCCTACCTTCGGTAACGGCCGCGCGGCGGCGCGCCGGTCGCGTCGCACGGAGTGTATTGTTTCGTGTCGATACTTACTCTTATATTGACATGCTCTTACACAAAAATAAAACCTTATGTTGTTGTTTGTTTGTTTCCTGCCCGTTGTGAGTTGCAGATTTTTGCCTTGTGTGGCCGTCTTCGCTAAAAAAAAGCTTTCCACAACAACCCTTTCGCATGATACAGTATGATTTTGAACAAATTACAATAGTTTCTTTTTCAGCTTTTGGCGAGCAATTTTTGCTTGCAATATTTTGTCATAAAGGAGAGAGGCACAGCGGCGCATGCGCGTCAGTCTTCTGCAAGAACGACGGTTGCTTCGCGCAGTGCTTGGCAAGAAAATGACATACCATCGAGATTCACACATTTATCAGCGAACTCCGCGGTTCCCCGTTGCCTGTCGTTCGGAAGCGCCATAATTTGCGCAGTGAATGTTACGACAACGTGAAATGCGGGACGTTTTTAAGATTTGGGAATTTCTGGCGGGACGCGGGACACGAGCCCTCAATGCGGGACAGTCCCGCGAGTCGCGGGACGGGTGGTCACCCTAGTTCAGAATGACCCAAACGTCACCAAGAATCTAGTCACCGGGAAAACTGTTTGCCGCCCACAGTGTCGAGCAATTCAAGATATAGCATCGTAAAAAAATCATAAACCGCAATTTTTTTTTTTTTTTTTGTTATTGCTGACGGAACTGGCAAAAATGTGGGAACTAGTGCCACTAAATAAGCTACGCTTCAGAGTAACGACACTTGGCCACATGGGCCGCCTGCGTTGCCCAGGGGGAGCTGCGAAAAGGGACTTGTTAGGCCTTGTTTTGGGTAGTACAAACTTTAGCGTCTCAAACTGTCACGCATGCAGAAGTGTGCCTGCTCTGGTGCGGAGCGCGAGATCACGATAAAAATACAAAGAAACAACAAAAATTCGAACGCAGTCAAAGCTAAGAGCGTGAGCCAAGAGATGCCGTTTCACGCGTTCCAAAGTAGACATGACAAAGAAAAAAAAAAAATGAGAGCGTCGCGACACAGGTGTTTTGACGTCAACCCCCAGAGATTAGAGACGCGCACCCTAGCGGTAGTCTCATGAATTTGGCACTTTTGATTCTCTTGCGGCGTTGAGTCTGGCCAATTTCTGGTGTCCAGAGGGTTTTTTTCGTTCTTCAGCACCAGGCAGAATTAAAAAAAGCCCAACCAACGTGCCATAAATAGTGCGAGGCACAATCAGGTGAGCTTGTACTACCCAAAATGAGGGCGCTACAGTTGGTTCAAAGCTTCAGCGCAGAAGGGCTTAAAATCATGGTTGCCAGTTATCTGAAGCTTTATCTGAAATCACAGGAAACGCTTTTCCGTCCTCCACAAATGTTTAAACAGACCGCGACAGGGAAAAGCAATATTACATGAGATTTTCGCCTGGGTCCCTAACACCGAATCAAATGCTGAGGAAGTCGCACTTTGGAATCATGACGATCTCCAGTTGCGTCTGCTCTGCACAAGCCCCAATATGGCGGCGCCCACAACAATGTCGGGGAACGGAGTGCCGATACCAACGTTACTAACACACTCAGTTGGGAAACTCGCCCTCGAAACCTGGGCCGCTAGCGTCCACCGAGACCGAGCTAAATGCAACAACAGCGCCACTCTTTTTCGTTTGTCAGTACTATGGTCACCTTGAGCTTTTTGAAAGCCTGTTTTTGCGTAAAAACAAACGGAAAAGACTCTTTTTGTATGAAATTTATTGGAGTTTAGTACCACATGATGGGCGCGTGATGTTTTTATCATCTCTAGTTCGCAAGGTTTTACGGAACAATTAATATTGTTTCTATACAACCATGCCTCAGCGGGCCTTTCAGGTAGCGCGTCCCACCCTAGGTGCATTTTAACTTCAGTAGTTGAACGCGGCGCGTCCGCCGGGGATGGCACCCCTGTAACCTCTATCAAGCCAAAATACAAGTCAGGTGCAGTTCTTCGAGGTGGCGTGGTGTTCGTCATTAGCTCGGTACTCGGAGACAGATTGGGGCCACTTTTTCAAAGCTGTCTCTATGGGAGTTTCCCAACTAAGTGTTTCAGTAACGTTGGCCGATACTAAGCGCAGCTCTAGTGGGAACCCTGTAATTTGGAGCTTCATATCAAGAAAATTCGGAAAAGTCGCAGTAAAAGAAGGCGGCGATGGTCTTCCCATTTTGCCACTCGTATAGTTCCAGTACAACGCTAAAATGATTCCAAGATTCGCCATAAAATCTCCAGATTGAAATGCAAAACCATTGTAGATTTACAGTTGGCTTCTTATTTCTTCATTGATTGTGCAGTGGGTCACAGCAGTAGTGGGGTGCCACTTTCTCATAGCAGCGCTCTGCTCTTCACGTTAAACATGGGTCGCCATGTTTGAGGTTACGGAAGGAGGTTGGCGCAACGTCCGAGAAATGGCGTGCAAATCTAAATAATTCTATTGCCTTTCCATCGGAAGAGGAAGCAACAGAAATTGTGGGTGTGGGGTTTGCGCCAACCCCTGGGGGGCAAGAAGAGACGTCCCTGGGACAGCTGGTCTGCATGGGAGTGGCGGCGTGTGTGCATGGAGGCGGGGGTGTGTCGGTGTGTGTAGGGAAGGAGCTGACTTGACTATTCGAAATCCCTACGTGGGGAATGTAGGGAAGACAGTCCCAATAAAAGAGGAGGATTTCTTTGGGACTCGTCGTCTTCCGATTTTGTATTCCACATTGTACAAATGTAAAGTAAACTCGCTGTCAAAAGTGGCCCTGCTTCCAAGCTCCTTGTGCCTGATGTCCTGGGCAGCCTCTGGCTCCAGCAGAGCCCTACTACGAGGATGACCCCGGAGCTGTTGCTACTGGTGGCAGCGGTGCGATTTTTGGAAGGCCGAGATGCTTGGTCTGCTACCCGTGTTGGCTGGCCTCTTGGAAGGTCGCTGGTTAGCACCTCTGCTCTGCCAAGGATGCTTGTCTATGGACTTACCCCCTGTGGGTCTTCAGGACGGCCATTCATTACACTACCCACACTAACTATATTGTCGGAATCACCGTTTCTGGTGTGGTATAATTATTAATGCGAAATTTAAAGTAGTTATTGTGAAATCGGCAACTAGAAATTATGTCAAAACCTACATTCAAATGAACCCGTGCTTTTCTATGTTGCAGCGTCAGGGGAAGGCAGACTTGCAGGTAGAGCGAGCAGTCTAAAAATAGATTATACCAAGCATTTGTTTCGTGCTGCTGTGCGGGTGCTGGAGCGAGCTTCCAAAGCATTCATTTGACAACGTAAAACTGCTTGTAATCAGTTGGGAACAAAGTCTGCACTTCAAAGAGTGAATCCCTGCTTTCCCCTGACGTCACGCTTTTATTGTTCCCAGTAGAGATATTCACTTTCAAGATCTCTTCTCCAATCGCCCGAAATGCTGAGAGAAAACAAGTGGAAATGAGGTGACTACCAACTAAATCGCGTCTCACGCCGTCAATATTGCTTTAACATTTTTTTTTTTTCAAGTAAAATTTATTTTTTGACACACGTGTTCCCACCAAGCTGTTTAAAAAAACTTTTTCTTTTCAGTGGCTCTTTAAGTCTAGGCCCTCTAATCATCGTAAGCGCCCGCAGCCGGCAGCGATGAAGTCGGTCACCTTTAGATGAAAATCAACCGGCCTTTACGTAACGAAGAACTTGAGAAAAGAGCGCAGTGGCGTAAATCTGTTTCAGAAGCGGTGGGTTTATTTTGCAACATAAACGGGAACCATCACATCGAATCAACAGCTGTGTATATGAAGCAGTGTAGAAATATCCTGCAGTGTGTAACACTGGTGCGGTAATAACGCATTGCCCATGACTAGAGGAAAGCCTCTCCGTGTAAAAAGGAAAAAAAAAGGATTGATGAAATGAATCGGCACACCGAACATGAAATGTCAATAAAAAACATTACCACACACATGTACTGGACAGAGCAACAAAATGCACCATTCCCTCATTTGAACACCTCTTCAAACCAAAAAGCATCTTGTCAAATTTAAAAAAAAGCTGACCAACGAAGATCCGCGCAACGTGCATAATATTTATAACTTCGGTAGCAGGGGCCAAAAAGTGCAAACGCCCCTTGTATTCAAAAATAGCTCAGAGGCAAGTTTGCATAAATATATCTCAAATATAATTTTATAATTGTCACGACTGCAAAAATGTGCCATAACCGTCCGCGTATTGCGATAACTCTTTATAGTGCAATTGCGAAGTCACTTCTCAGGTGAAAATCAGTTCATTTCCAGCTGGATTACGAAATTGGTGTCAGCTGAGTCCAGCTGGAAACGAAACAATTCACTCGGATTCAGCAAAAACCAGTTCCAGAATACAGGTGGAAATGAGCCAACTTTCACATGGGTGCAGCCAGCGAGAGAGGCCAATTCTGCGACACCCCAAAACGCATCGGGCGCTTAAATAATAAACTTTGCAAAAACAACAACAAGCTTGCTGCAACATGTGGGAAATTTAAAATTAGAAACACCTACTGGACACCTTGGCAGTGAGAGAACTTTTCCGTACGTTGTTCCACCTGCTGTAAGCACTCTCGCCGTGCGTGTCTCTTCTCGTGTGTGTCATATACGCACGCACAGTCCGTCCAAACTCCAAATACTCTGGTTATACAGAACGTGCTTTGCCCATCCGCCACACGCAGGGTGGGGGGAGGGCACGATTGCTGATTGGCGTTATCTCGGGAGCTAAAGGAAGCGAAGCAACCTCGGAAGAAGTACAGGACTGAGTCGATCGGTTTTCCTTGTCCAGACCGCACTAAATGCTCTTTTGGGTGGCCGGCCGTAGATCCCGCAGTCGTGTAGAGGTCCCTAGCAGTACATTGTGTTCTCCAGCCACTGCAAAAATCGAGCGAAGATGATAAAAAAATACTTTTAGGCATCGTAAAGGCACCGTGTGCGAGACCTTTTTTCTAGTGAGCCTCCGCTCATACGGACACTCCCTCCCCTGGCCTTACTTCCCGCTGTCAAAAGGGAATCGTCGTTGTGACAATTCTTTTTTGACCGTCGGTAGTATGGGGCGTATAAAACAACAAAACCCAATAAACCAGCAAGAGGCCAGTGTTTTCTGATGTGCCTGTTGCAGTGATGTGATTGGCCTAAGCCGTTTTGGAGCACCTTTTGGAGCAGCCAAAATAGTGTTTTGGAGCAGCAAAAGTGGCCTTTGGAGCAGCCAGAACAGTGTTTTGGAGCAGCAAAAGTGGCTTTTGGAGCAGCCAAAACAGTGTTTCAAAGCAGCAAAAAGTGGCTTTTGGAGCAGATATTTTAATAAAAATAAAAAATATTTCTTTTAAGTGCTGGACAAAGGAAGGGCAGTTGCTCGCCACAATAAGCAAATTATGGTCAAGTTAGACGACCTGGGAGTCTTTCAAGTTTTTAACTGAAATGTCAATGACACAACATATTTTGCGATGCTTCAGTTAAATGACATATATATATATGTAGCCACTATAGATAAATAAGAACCAAATTGCACATATTAAATTTATTTGAAAATGACGAGCTTAGCAGTAAATATGAAAGCATAAACTTCACTAGTTATATAATATAATAAATTGAAGCAGTATCCAACTGATGAAACACGTAACTACTGCAATACAATACGAAACTGTACACATGAAAAAGGTGCTGGTGGGTGCTTTTCCTTTTGCTTGTTGAAACTTTCTGCAAGGCTGCTGCAAGCCTCGCTTAGCTTTGGGCAAGTAATGAATGTCCACTTTCAATGTCTCCAAAGAGACGTTGAGACATCCCACAAGTGTACAGTGCTGTAGGCGTTGCCGAGCAATTCCAAAACGTCACACACCGTTTTACTGGTTCCCGACATGCCAGATTTTCGTCAGAAGCAAGCAAATGTAAAGCAATGGATTGCAAGCGTCCCGGCTGGTGCCTCTGTCGTGCAATCATGTTTGCATGCACGTGAGGGCAACTTCGGCAGCTTGCAGTTGCACGCGCTTCGTTATGCAAACGGAGACTGCTGTTCGATCGAAACCGAAACTCTGCCACTCCGCTCAGTCGCCATCTGGTCCCCAAAATTGTATGCAAAATGTAACAATCCAGCATAAAAAAAAAAGAAAAACAGTCCAGCGGCGCGTGCTTGGTAGGCCAGTATGCGAGGCACAAGCTAATTTAAAGGGTTAAAAAGCGCAAACAAAACAAGGACAATAAAGCTAATAATAAAAAAAAACATGAGCGCATCAATGCAAGACATTGCGAGTCAGGGTCAAAAAGTTCTTGGAGCGCTTTGTGCAACAACTGAACTCAAGATAAACAAGCGTGCTGTGCGGGTTCAGCGTGCAGACATTGCTTTTTTTTTTTTTTTTTTTGCTTTAGCTAACTTGTCTTAAACTTTCTTTTGCGACAGACTTTTCACGTACCGGGGTCCCTCTCAAAAGAAATCCGACCGAGAGAAACCTAGGTAAACAGTACTTTGACACAACAGTCTTCGAGCTAAAGGGATTTTTGTAGTAGCGTTTATTTAAACAAGGACAGGATGGCTGATTATCCTGCAGCGGTCCTTACGTGTCATTTTAGAAAGCGCCATATCTGCAGCAATGTGTGGACGGGAACACCCGACGTCATAACCACTGTGACTGGTAGGCAGAGACCAAAAATAGTTGTGCCACGGCCGTTTCTTTCAGAAGCGAGTGCTTCAGATCACAAGTAACTCCCAATGTGCAAAAACGTGGTTTCGTATTACAACACGACGGCATGGCTGGTACCCGGCAAGCTAGCGTCGGGGCGTCCATATACGCCTGCATCTATCGTTAAAATATTTCAAGAGGATGCGAGACGAGACCCACGAAAGCGCGAAATGAGGAACGGCGGGAAAAACCATGCGAGACCGGATGGACGATTGATGCAGCATACTTTCTGTCGGGCGGTCGCTTGCGCCACCTAGCTCACGCATGCTCAATTACGGTACTCAGTTTAGTTTCGGTTTTGAAAGGCGACCGAAATTGGTCCTTTGGCGCAGGCTTGGCGCAGATTACCCAAATTTCGGCGGAATGTAGCAGGATGTAGCAGGGTTAGGCCCTTGGCGCAGTTTGGCGCAATTGGCGCAGCAATCACATCACTGCTGTTGAGCTTCCCTCTCATTCGTAGTTTCCCGACTTTCCAGAGGGCACTTGTTACTCGAAAAAGGTGCATTGTAACGGCACTATTGGACAGTTCCATTGATTTTGACAATGTTTTGCCAGTACTACCGTGTCTCTTGACTGGAGATGTAGTATTCGTAAATAGGTAAATAAATTAATAATAAAACAGGCACCCCTTGGATACCATAGCTTTTGCATCATGCTGTGCGAGGTTATATGCTTGTGAGGTGCGAATATTCAAAACCTGAAAAAGTTTCTATTCGAATACTGACATATCTGATTTCCAGGTCTTCATAAGGCAAGCTTTACATTCTGTTGGAAGAACTTCACTAAGAAACAGCTGCGCGGCAGTGAAGTGACACCGGCGTAGAATGTGTCACCGATGCAGCCTCCACACAATGTAGTTGCGTGCATCCATTCACAAGATCAATTGGTTTTCCTGCGCACTAAATATTTAAAAAAGATAATTTGTTTTTAAATTCAAGTTATGTAGATCTAGTGCCTGTATTTGGCTCGTTGATCCAAAATAGGGACCGGAACTATGTATTCTACAAATTTGGTAACACATTCCCGAAAATTCGGCTAGTAGCTATAAGAGAACACGTGAAATTTAAGAGAATTCTATTTAAACATATTCTTTGCGTTATAAATAACTTGTATTTCTCATTTTGCAAAAAGGTCCAGAAACTAGTATCGTCAAGCTAATACACCTCTGAAGGAATTATTCTTTTAAAAATAAATTTAAAAAAAAGAATTTTTTTTTTTTTCAATTTTATTAATTGTTTTGTAGATGTAAAGGGGCACTAAGTGGTTTTTGAGATTGTCTCGTATCGTGATGTATGGTCGTGTTTGTAACAAGCGAAAGAGCCATGCAGTATCGTAATTTCGGGTTTTCTAGGATGTGTAGGCAGGGGCAGACTTATCGGTCAGGCTTTGGGGGGTTTAGGCATTTGGCTGAGGGTTCTCGTGTTGCAGACGGATGTGACGCCATGGGCAGTGCATTACCCAGAACTATTTTGTTGACCTAATATATGTGATTTCACCCAACTTCTTAAGAAAAAGTTGGTGCATGTCATTTTTTACATCAAACCCATTAATTGCTGATGTTCACAATATATAAGACATCCGTTAGCTTCCTAGCTGCACCACGCTCTAGCTGTCAGGACAAACATTAAAAAAATCAAGCAGTGTTAATCTCCCGAATTTGGGGACACAATAAGCTGCAAAATGCTCTGTTGCTGGTTTGTAATGTTTGCCACACTAATGCACATTATTCCGTTGGTAACGCTTAAAGCACTAGCAGAGCTCCGAGCATCTATAGGATTCGCCAAATTTCACCCATCCACTAATTGATCACAAACATGAATAACCGTCAGCACATATTGTTATGTTGTGTTTTAGGACTAAAAGCGTCACCGTTTAGAACCGCAGATAGATCACGACAGTCAACACATCTACTGAAGAGGAGAGGAAAAAGTCTCTTTTCTAAATTCCACTGGAACTCGAGTTTCTCGCATGCTGTGCCCTTGTGCTTTAGTGTGCTGGTGCCACATAGCACAATTGGCAGTTCGCAGTTTCACAACCCCTCTGAGATCAGTGTTGTCAGCTTGTACCACAGACAAGATGAACTGAAACAGCCGCTTCTTCGGCTTACCCGCCAGTTTTTAAAGCTTTGGTGCAAAGATGCGTTGGAATGCAAAGCATATAGGTCTCAGTCTTTGAGCTCTTTCACAATTTGAGAGATACCAAAGCTCGTGGGAACTGTGGGTGCGGCAAAGATCCAGGTCGACTGTTTCAGTCGACCTGGATCTTTGCCGCAGTCCAGGGGTGTACCTCACAAGTTGTCTGTAGTGCCGGTGAAGGCACAAGAATGTGGTTTTCAAAAGCACTTCCTGTGCACGAGCGCCAGTACGCGCGAGCCTTCTGCGGAGCTACGCCCTTGTGCTCGTGTCCTCGCCAGCACTAAAGCCAACTTGTGAGACGATTGTAGATCGAGGGCAAGTAGAAGAAGCAAAGCACGCTCCCACCTCGTCTATTGTGAAGACTGCACTTCCGAGGTTCCTCGGGTCTTTCTCCTTGAACACCTCTGCACACAGAAGGAAACAAAGCCAAGGATGAAATTCATACGTCCACTTGCGCGGTTAGATGTGCCAAAGTGCCAGAGCGTGATCGTTGCTTTCTTAGTGATCTAAATATTTCAAAGTGAATCCAAACGACCTTGAGCCATTAGGTATCCACAACAAGTATGCCAATAGTGACTGTAGGATTTTCTGCCAACTTTTTCAGACAAGTTTTATTGATGCTGGAAATGTTAAAATTTTTAAATAATAACGAAAAACATGAGATCTGTACCAACGCACACATGGAACGTGTGGCTTGTAACTGACATGACCCGAACTCTTCCACCGAAGCCATTTGCTTGCATCTGTTACCGTTTATAGAAGTTTCCGTTGCGAAATACTTCAATTGCCGATCCTCGTTATCCACAAGGGTCTCAAACTCTTTCATCTCAAGGAACTCCTACCTGCTTTTAATTGGCAGCCGAGAAACCGCTCTCAGTTTCAGCATTGATGCAATAAAATACTTTGTAAAAAGTACAGCATATTCTTTCACTGATTGCCATGCATCAATGGGTGGCTTAGATCTGCTAAAATGGTGCTTGAATGGAGGAAACACTTTAGTAATTTGGGGCAGAGACTATCAAGAACATTTGGAGGCTTACCACAATCTTGAGGTTACTCTGGCGAACCTCAAGATTCTTGTAACCCAGATTGAGAGCCCACAAAAACAATAATACAGCTCTGCTAGCAGCTTTGCTGTCTATAGCCTTATTTTCACACATTTATCGATTCAACAATTTGCACAATCATAAAAGAAGGTCAACACACCAATCATGGTCCTCAGCTTGACAGCGCAACCAATGAAGTCCTCAAAGGCGATGTTCCCGTCGTCGTTGCCATACCTCAGGACCAGTGCCTTGAGGATGTGCTGGTTTACGAGATATCCTGCAAGACATCAACACCAAGGCTGAGGAACAAGCACTTATCCTATGTACGCCGATCAGAACAGATTTGGTCGCAATAGACATTCAGTGTAATATAGTAATGAAGTTTCACTGGCTCCATCTTACCACTAAACAAACTAGATCCATGCACACCTTGTTAGAATACATATTCATATACCAAAAGGACCCTGTGAATAGGCTCAAATATGGTACTGTTTTAATTGCGATGGATTTCAATATCATGTAGTTTTCCTCCACCATCAAAACATTTACACCAATCTTGCTAATGAACCTAAAAAAAAAACGGTAAGAAAGACTAAGTGGCCTAACCAAAGGCAAGCTTTGAATGGCATTGCCACAAGCAAAGATTACTGCAAATATGCAGCCAGACTGCTCGAGGCAATAATTATAAGTTACCATTGTGAATATAATTTATAAATTATAATAAGTATGAATTTCATTAGGATTATGCGAATATTTGAATGTTTTAATAGTGCCTAGTTTCAAATAATGCACTACTCAATATTTTCTTTGAGATCAACTTCAATATTCTCAATTCTTAAAGTGGTGATCACAGCTCGTGCTTTTTACCGAGCACCGACGCACTGAGGAAAAGCAATACCCACGGTAGTTGAAACTATACAACTGCGAAACTTGCTTCACCACAGCACAGCGGTGTGCTTAAGAGAAAAGCACAATTTCAAAGCACAGTGGTGCACACATGTTTCTCGTGTGTGCACCACTCTGCAAACAAACAAAAAAATTGCGAATGCTCATATAAACATTGCAGTAAGGTTTTCAAAAAGAAAATGTCGGTATTATGCAACAATATATTTCTTGGGCACCCGTGTCCTGACAATCTGTGTTCATCATTAGCGGCTGTTTTTTTTTTGTTCTTTCAAATTCAAGATCTAAAAAAGGATATTTGCATATATAACATTAAGATATATAAATCCCCTAAATTACATATAGCTGAGCATTTTTACAGGATTAATTTATGTGAAATCAGTCCTTTACTTGAAAAACCCTGGACTTCCAGAGACCACAGTCCATAAATGTAGTTTGATTAAAATTAACCGAGCCTAGAAGTGGGCAAGTGAATGCTTGGAAACAACCTTTCCGAGCTCAGCCAAATTTTTGTTTAAGCATGATGCAACAGTAGTGAGAAATATTCAGTAAAAATCACTCTTTGTTTCGAATTGACTTTTAAGTCAAAATCCACTATTCACGCATGCATTTCATTGTGCCTCCAAGGTCCACAATTCTGGTTCTTAAAATTCTCAGAAATCTTAACAGCTCAAGTAAAAATTGACCCACCAGAATGATACCATGCAACGGGTCTTCTTAGATCCAAGGTATAAACATGCTGCAATAGTTGCACTTAGATAACCTATAAAACTAAAAAGGTTCACCTTGATCTTTTGTGTCTCTAAGCTTTTACATTACGCCCATCTTTCGAGATGTATCCCAGAAAAGGGATTGAACGAAACCTTTCGTCCCACCTTTGAAGGAAAGAAGACCACACATGAGTAACGTTTGGGTCCTTTACAATGCTGAGTGTGCCTAGATCGAGTACGCCCCATAAAAAGGCAACCTCAAAAACTGAAGCTATAAAAGATTTGTTCTGACTGGTTGGCTGGCAAACATTTCTAAGTGAAGGACAGATAATACCGGTGCTAGCACAGCACAGAATTATCTATCCAAAATGATGCTAAGATTGTATGTGTGTTTGTTCTTTCTTCGTTTGCACTCCGCTTATCTGGCTTTCGCCCATCTGTTTATGTACAGGGTGTGAGCGAAATAAACTTTCAGTTGCTGGTCAGCGCCGTGTACCGTCGCGTCTTTATTTTGCCCATGTCCCGTCGTGCTGTGTCAACCCAGAACACTCAAAAACCGCTTTGATGCCCCCTTAAAGACCCTTAAAGATGGATGCCAGGGTAGGCCTCCGAATCGCGGAACTTACCGGCAGAGTGCAAGGCCGCCCGCAGCTCGAACGTGCTCAGGTAACCAGATCCGTCCTTGTCGAAGGCAGTGAAGACGTTCTAAAGGAGGGATAAAAAAAAAATGCTCGACTTACCCTGGTCCCACAGATCAAGTTGGTACGTGCAGAAAGCATTTCCGCAGAGCTCTTTGGAGATTCTGGTGGACGTTGCACTTTCTTTTTTATTTCTCTTTTTTAGTTATAGCACACTATTTTACTCAAAACTCTGTTCTCTTTTATGTGGCAGTGGGCACATCTTGTATTTCTTGTTTCTCCCCCTAAACTGTTTGAACGCGAAACGCCAACAATCGGCGTTTGCATTTAAACAGTTAGCAGAGACCACCGTTGTAGAGACAATGCCAGCTACACTTCGATTCACTATTAAGTCCGGGAGCAGCCAATGGCACGAGCTGGTGGGACCAATTAAACAGCGTGGAAAGCACAAGTCACTGGGTCTTCCTGCATGTGAGTGGTGGTTCAGCGATGATGGAGCACGTACAGACGCCTGACAATCAACGTGACGTTGCGCTTTTGATGCTGCCCAATCGGTCCCACCAGCTCGTAGCGCCAGCTGCATCTGGACTTGAAGGCTGACCTCCAAAATATTTCTCAACCAGAGTGGAAATCCTCTTTGCCACCCTTCCCATTTCCTCCTCTCCCACTGCTATCTTGACAGCTGGGAGACTCCTTTCGTTGCTGCATTTTGGGGATAGATAAGCTGGGAGCTTATCCAGCCCAAGATGCAGTAACAAAAAAAGTCTCGCCCCCCCCCCCCCCCCCCCCCCCCCCAAGGATGATTTTCACCCTGGTGGAGGAAAAATATTTTACGGGTCAGGCTTTAAAGTGAAACAAAGTATTTACAAAGCTTTATGACCACCCACTAAGTGGCGCCAATAAAGAAAAAAGGAAACCCACTAATTGACACAGCGGTAGAATATCAAGCTCACAATCGCAGGGTGGAGCGTTCTTCTTCCGTCAGGGCATGTTTAGAATTTAGTACTTCCTTCCTCATTTGCCACTTTTCAGTATAGTGTCCTCTAAGTGCATATTACACACTTCATAATTTCTGTAATGACTCGTCGAGATTTCCTCAGAAACTCCAGCTGCTTAAACAGATTATGCGTTAAAAACAATGACGTTATGGTTGGTGGGGCTGGAAATTAAGTAGATCTAGTACTCTGAATTCTTAGCCTGCAGCACATGCTCATTGCCTTTTGCCAGGCTTTGGCTATGCATGCAATGAGGTGCTATCAAAGGCAGCAAGCTCGCGCTGGAGGTGAAGAATCCACTGAATTCTTAACCTGTCACTTACTATAGATCTCACAGCGAATTGCTTCAAACAGGATTCCCTGAAAATGCAATAATTGCACTTCGTGGTATAGAACTCGACACAGGAACCATGCATAGAATGACGTTAAGTATGAAGACTAACAACCTGTTTCTCCCACTGTGCCCGCTCAATGAGGCACAGAGAAGCCAATTCATCATTTGCCAGGTCAACATTCACCGCTGCATTTCATGAAAATCTTGGAAGGGTCGCAAAACGAAAATAGATTCCTCTAGTTTTTATCTTTTCCTCCTCTTTAACCACAAAATATACCGTAAAATACCAAGCAAGTGCCAACTCAAAATTTGAGATAATCGCGAAAAAATAAGGGTTGGGTGCATGTGAGATAATCAATTTTACATATATATGAACTGTGCATATTTTTTTCAGACGCTTCAAACTTTGGGGGTGGATGCTTAGTGTGGAATGGACAGATGCACGGTGTTCTATGGTTATATTTTTTGAAGCAAGCTTTCAGCGAAATTCTGCGTCAATATCTGACGACTGTACTCATATTTTAAAAAAATGTGTTGCTGGACAAGAATGATCGCTATAAGAACAAGTTATGGTGCCAGAAGTTGATAAGTAATACGAGCACTCATAATCATTTACTTGAGATTAAATTAAGATATATAAACAACAGAACCACTTTGTAAGTCCATATACCTATTTGCATCAATGCAGCATATTTGATCAGAGTCATCGTAAAAGTCATTTGTTGTAAGCAGTGTGGCAAGCAATTCACAGAATAGCTTTGTGAAAATCTAATGTCTGAAAAGAGTCTATTCTTGGCCAGGATACATTCTTGATATTTTTGGTGACTTTTATAATCTTAGTGGTAAACAAAGAAAAACAACGGATTAGGAATTTCCTCAAGAAATATGTCTACTCAGTAAGCTACTACAGATGACAAACATTTTATTTTTTGGGGTCTTTAAAGAATAGCACCCTTTTTCCATAAAAGACCTTTGTTTTAAAAAGGCTATATTCCTTTAAACATTTCAAATTACTTGGGATCCATGAAAATTTATTTAAATAGAGTTGCTACCCTATATGTATCCAATCTGATCCTGAAAGTCACTTTTAAGAGGTGCCTATGAAGCAATGACAAGAACAAAAGAAGGCAAACAAGATAGTGTGAGCTCGCAAAATATAGGATGAAATACGAGGGCTGTTTTGTTTTCGAATTCCAATAGACAGGGTAAGAAAACAGTGTAGTGATGCAATTTTTTAATATATACACAAAATGTCTTTATGTACTACTCTAGCTGCTCACAGATTTAGTCAGCTATTATAACGTGGCAAAAACTTCTGAATGCTTTCCCTAACAAAGGCTGCCGCCTGGGTTCCGAGTCATTGTATCACAAGTTCAAGAAGACCGTCAGTTGTCCCAGACCTTTTTTCCTGAACCCCTTCATCAAGGACGTTCGTCCGTCCTCCGTGAAAAAGCTCCATGCAGTTTTTTCCGTGCACATTACAAGTCTGTGGCGAGTGGCGGTCTTGCCGATGCACGATAGAATGACCAATAACCCCCAGCAACAATTAAATTCTTTGGGGATTGCGTCTGAAAGCTTGTGCCACGTCATAGTAACTGCCTTCATCTGTGCGGTATTTTCGCAAAGTAGCTAGAGTTTGTATCTACATTCTGTGTACACAAACAAAAAGTTAATACCGTAACTTTTTTTTTACAGATTTTTTTTTTGGGGGGCTCGGAAGGAAAAACAGCCTTTGTATATGAAGCGGCAAGGAGCAGAAACGCTTGCCTTCCAAGTTCTGATGAGTATCCAAAGCGCTCTGAACTCTTCCAGTCCCAGCTTGCCCGAGTGGTCGTCCTTTGGTTGGTGAGAAGGTCAAAGAAGGGCCCAAACACTTTCCCGGAAGGTCCCAGAAAACAAAAAGTTACGAGTACATTTATGCCGTCGCACAGCGTGCGTTGCGGCGATGGCGACTCGGCACTCGCGTAATTCGCTATCACTGTGGCAGCGACGTCGTTTCCACGCGTCCTCCCAATCACGCCATTTTCGCTTCTGCTCTCAATCCCATTCACTGTGCCTGATCCGCATTACCATCAACGTCATCGCGCAACATAAAGGATACGTCCATGAGAGCAACCATGCTACGACAGACATCCAGGGCGAACTGCTCCGACCTTAACTCTGAAAGGAAAGTTGAGCAAAGCATTAGCATGCTCCATAAAAACCATTACACAAAACCTCGACATATCCTTGAATTAAATGCCACGTTATACAGCAATGCCATCAAGCTCAGTTTGCACATGTAAGTGCTAGCTTAAATGCGTGAAGTCAAATAACTGACATGAACTTCACCACTTTTGAAAATAAAAAGAATGAAGATTTCTCTTAATAAGTCATATTGTTATTTCACTTTGTGCATGTGCACTCCAGCTTAAGGCATGCCAGCTGTTTGGGGGAACAATAAAACATAAATTGACTGATAAAAGAAACAGTGTTGAAAAGAAACCTTGGCATACGTTCAAACAAAAACGGTATTATGAGGAGTGCATATTGGCAGTCAAATTAAAACCACAGGGACCACCTGCTCAGACTTATGCTGCTGTGAGTTGTAACACCCACAGGTGCTAACATTATTTGCTTATGAAGTAAGGCTTAGGGGGGACACTACCTGGGCATGTCTACTTTTGAACCGCTCACTCAATCGGCGTGAAATTTGCAGGTGGTGTTTATAGCCATATGGAAAAAGGGCATGCAAAGTTTCAGCCCTGTGAACCAATTTTATGAGGTTCCATACCCCCCCCCCCCCCCCCCCCAAACGAAGAAAAGCATTGCTTTGCATGGAATCTGCTCAATGAATCTATCGTTGAGAAATGGTGTTTATAACCCCATATTTTTCTGGTGGAATGCATACTGAAATAGTTGTTGCTGGTTACTATAAAAAGAAATTTTTAAAAATATGCATTTTTGAGGTAAAAAAATGTATGAAATTATTATTTTTCTTTTTTACATTTGCCAAGTTTTGCAAATTACAATTTTTCATAATAAAAGAACATGAAAATGCAAAATCTAAGTTCATAGTAACTGGCTCTATTAAATTTCAGCATATAATCCACAAATATTAAGTCACTCGGTAGTTTCATACTGAAACAATAGTTTTATTAAGGTGGGATTTGCTGCCAAAAAGTGAAGCTGAGATAAGTGCACTTGAAGTTTCAAGATAATGTATTAAAAATTTCTTTTTGCATCTTAAATGTCACGAATTCTTTCCTGCAGTGCTGGTGACGTCTTCCTCAAACTTCTGATATACTGACATTGCTTTCAGCTATTTTCACTTTTGGATGACGAGTGCTACGCAGTGCAGCACGCCTCACCAACATATAAAGAATAATTATTTTTGACATTGTTCGTCAAGTGCACATTGACAAGACTTTGTGAGTGTTCCTTGTTATCCATGCATGCCAAAACTCTGCAGTTCCGAATATGCATTTTTTGGAAAAAAAAGGTGCGATTCAAGGTAGTGTCCCCCCTGAAGTGAAGTTCTAGGAAGCATGCACAAGCCAGAGGCTGGTTCAGCATGTATGCCCCAGCCTCGGCACTCCTACTCCACAGCATTAATCTTCATTTTCCTAAACAGATACCTTATTCTCTTAAAAAGCTTACATTCATGATAATTTCCTTAATCAACCTAAATACATGTCAATTATGAATTACTTCTGAATGAATTTCAGGTAAGGACCACCTACCAATAATAAAAACAGATTGTTTGACATTAAATCGAAAGTTGCACTCTTAGAAATCTGATCATCAAACCAATCATAAACTTAGGACAACAAGACGGCAACAACTATACCCATTATTTATGAGCTCAGGCTAAAAATCACGAATTATAAACTAATGTTGCATACAACTACCCAAGCTTCACAATGGGCGTACATTTTTGATTCACATTAAAAGCACCATAGCACATATGCAACATATGCACGATGACAGGACATGTTAGAACTGGCTGAAGCACCAGTCAACCTTGTGTAGTTAGACATATACTACTTCTCAGCAATGCGACTCTTCTGTATGGTGATCGTACTGTTAACCAAGTTGAAATTTCAGCGATTCAATGTGACAGAGATGTCTGTATTAAACTTGACAAGGAGGGAGTGATGCATGCATTGTCTTACACAGAAACAAGGAAGAAGATAAACACAGAGACAAGTTTCATGACAGTGTGAACACACAATATGTGCCAGTGCAGGAACGTCCCAACTTTTCACAGACACACGAACGGGGGTATAGCAGGCCCCACAAAGACGAGAGTTGGTTTCCCTGACAGCAGCTTTTTCAGAATTGAGTTGTTAGATACTGACGCGCCCCTGGCAAAGAGAACACCCTACCACCAGTGGCAGCATTTCAGCTCACTTGGCACTTGCACAAACACTGAAATTCAAGTAACTGGAATGCATTGCTCATTTTCTTATCAGTAGAAAGATGCACCTAATTATGAACTTGCACAAACTCGCAAACATTCGGTTTCTACGGGTATTGCCAGTAAACCATTGAATCGGCACAAAAAACAGGCAAAGGAGGCATGCAAACTTCACTTGCCCTACCATAAGTTATCCATTCGAGTAAGCCAAAATGTTTTACGAATGATGGGACAAGTCACAATAACGCACGAAGTCACAAAGGGCACACACACTTTGTGCACAGACATCCATCCAGGTTCCCGAGAGTTGCACACCGAACAGGAGAAGCAGCGGAGTAACAAAGGAAAAGGAGCCCCGTGCAGAGGTGGAACGCCATGCTTACCGTTCTCCCCTTCGTCTTCCACTGCGGCTGAACGATCAAGAGCCCCAAACGAACATGGAGAGTGGTCGTGGAAAAAAGGTTACACCGTTCATGGGTGGGCAAAAAAAACACACAAAAAAAAAACGAAATCATGCACTTCAGGGCTTTTTGTCTAAGTCTAGCACTGGCCTCCGTCACACTCTGTAAAAAATGTTTGCACATCTACTTCTCTGCAAAATATGGACGCCTAATCATTGCAATCAAAGGAAGGACTCGACGAGTGACAATGCACGGATCGCTACAAGAATATAATCAAGTGGGCATCCTCGGCACAAAACGTTAGACTAGCCTTTGTGCATGTCAATTGCTTCTGGACATCACCGCAAAGTGACCAAATGTGACCGGCCACGCCAGTCACTAAACGAGGTACGCTTCAGGAGGCTGACACCCCAATCCCCGACCGTCTCGCGAGCACTGCGATTTTGTTGTCAAGTGCAGATCAGGCGCAATTGCTGATGGTTACGATGCAAAAATGTGACTTTCTGATCTCTAGATCGGTCCCGAGAAGCTTGGGTAATATTTTCTGGTCTGTCGCAGACTATTAAAAACACTTTTGGGGGTTGCAAAAGTGTTTTCTGCTAATTCAGATAGAGCTTCAACTAACTGGCATTCATAACTTGAAGCAACAAGATGGCTGTGTCATTACCCTGAAACATAGCCTGTTGAGTGACTCTAGACCGTGCTACAGATCCTGCTACAGAAGGGTTGGGTGTGGCTTCCAAGGATGACAATCAATAAATGAATAGTATGTCCCGTTCAACCATTGTGATCATTCTGTAAGGTGGGTAGCAGTGAGGGAAATCCTGCAGTCTTCAATGGGACACCGACAATAAGCAACGTCATGATCAGTGTCCCGGTGTAGACGATATCTGTAAGCAACCACAATTTTTGGACCATGCCATTCGTAGGCTTCCTTCTGTAGAGTGCAATGATTCGTCTGCTTTGCATGCTCGGCAGTGAAGCAGGCATGCAAACATTTGAGAGATCGTAGAGAGACAAGTTGGATACTGCATCTGTCAGACTTGCGGTGGCCCTGCACGTTTTCATCTTAGACATGTGCAAATAGTTGCCTTTAGGACTGAACATGGATATAATTAGAATCCTAATTTTTACCTGAATAATTTCAAATGAAAAACCATTTGGTCCATTGTGCAGAACATCTCCTAAAACCATGAAAGCTGCAATAAAAAAAAGTGCCAGCTCTAAAAGCTTCACATTCAAGCTTTTTCTCCTTAATAGCATTCTACAATGGAGAGATACCATATATAGAAAATTTATTTTTTGTTTTTCCGAAAGTCAGTAAAAATTGTTTTAAAAAGATAGATCGAAACAGAAGACCCATGTGCTAATACGGTGCTCTGAATCGTAGATATAACTCGTAAAGCTAACAGAAAAGTTAACACCAGTTATGACAAAATATTAGGGATTTAAGTTCAGATCGGAATTAATTAGGGGAAGCAGCACTTGCAAAAATGCTGCAGCAAGGAGTGCTTTGCTGCAGTGCATTCGTGCCACGAAGGAAGCACCCTCCATCAAGAAGGATGGTTACGCTGTTCAACGCTGTGTTCTATATGCTATTTCAACTAATATTTAGAAGTTTTTAATATTTGCATATGCCTACCTTTTTTTCTAACATGTCCATTTAAGTTCCTAAACCCAACACTAACTCCATGGGTGCACTTATCACCATCTTTGTATTCTTTAGGAGTACCATGCACTAGCTTGCTCACTGTTGGCATATCAAAATGACTTGGTTGAATTTGGTCATATATGAATTGACATAAAATGACACTATCTCCACAAGCACCGTTACGGGGCACTGAACCACTTTCTGCACTAGCTTAATAATGGTCACAACTCAATCTATGGGCTCCGAGCATCCTAGAAAACTAAACATTACATTTATGCATGGCAAATTTTTCTATTAAAATCGGTATAAAAGATTAATTACCTCAGAACTATCGCAGACACCAGAAGGCACCACACTTCTCCTCGACCGACGGCGCCCTCTTGTTATCTATGATAGCTCCGAGGTAATCAATCTTTCGTACCGATTTTAAATATTGGCCACGCATGAATGTAATGTTTGGTTATCTAGGGTGCATAAAGTCAGTAGATTGAGTTATGACCACAAATAGACTACCATAGCAAGTAGTTCAGTGCCCCTTTAAAAAATCTCACTAAAAGTTCACTTCTAAAAAAAGATAGTAGAAAACAGTGAGGTCCTCTGCAAGTGTGACGACGCAGTATCAAGGCACTAAAGTGGAAACCAGCGACGTCTACAATAGTCACCGATGTGATGAGAACGACAGAGCATCTCCTTCAGACGCCCTGCCTTCGGCGCACGCTTGTTGCCTTCCACTGTGCAGGGTGTCCCCCAAAAAAATTTTACAGGGCTTTGTTCCACCACTAAAATAAACATGTAGCTCCAGCGGTCTGAACCAGATTTCAAGTTTTCAGAATGATGCGTAGTTAATTCCTGCAGCAAAAAAGAAGTCTGCGAACATTTTGGGGGGACACTCTGTGCATTCGCTGTGCGGACGCCGCGGCGCTCTCGAGGTGGGAAGGTCATGCTGGAGGCGGGACAAGTGAAAGTCCACCCTACCCTCCTCATCTTGACAGTGACTAAAGCTGACAAGCCGGACGGCCACTAAACAAGTCGGCCAGCAGTCAAAAAAACTGACCCTAAGTTCGGCAGCTAAAAAAAAAATATGAGCATCCGCTCTCCCTTATTCAAAAACCCAAAGCCTTTCTCTACCCAAAAGTTCAAAATATGTTTACATCCAAAAAGTCTACAATGACTTTAAAGCAAGATCCCACAATATATAATTTAACAGTTGAGCCGATCGACACTGATGAAACTGTCCAACAACCCAGCCGAACGGGAAGCTGGTATATAACACACAAGAACCTGGCCTATGAACGAGAGTGCAAAAAGACGAAAAGGCTAGGCCGTCACCACGAGAGGAAATACGTAACACGTGGTAGAAGACAAGAACTATGCCGTAAAGAGATAGAGATGCTATGCGAAAGGAGATGAGAGGAAAGAAACAGGTATTGAGCGCGTCTCGTGAAGCAGTTGCGAAGCAGGTCCGATTTACCACGCCAACGATATGCGCAACATCGACATTCGCGGTCCGCGCTGCGGAAAGCTCGTCCGAGGCAAGAAGCCGGGTAAGGCGGCGGAGAAGGGAGGAAAACAAAAAGGGGGTACCACTTACATGGACAGCTAAAGCAGTCAAAACAGTTAAGCCCTTCGAGCCACTTGGGCTCACCTCGTGGGGGTGCCTTTGCTTTCGGAACAGTGCGCTCTGCCAAAATCAGGGGAAGGGGGCACGTGTAAAACGTGTACAAAACGAAGCCAGACTAAAGGTGAAAAATAAGACTGTTTTCCCGGGCGCAAGAAGCCTAGATGTGCACGTCTGGGGGGGAAACGGTACATGCTGGGGCACGATGCTGGCGCATGCTGGTTTTTTCAATGTGTGCCTTGTCGCTGATATTGTTTCATTCGTACAAACGCTGCATTTTTAAGTTTTTCACTCACAAAAATGTTAAATGTCACATTTGACTTGGACTATTTCTCTAAAAAAAAATTGAGTGTATCTTTATCCTAGAGTACAGTAGCCTCGTGATAATTCAAACTCAGATATTACATGGGAAAAAAGCGCCGAAGGAACACGGACCAAGAGTAGAATAACAATGACACAGGGCGCTGTCGTTGTTATTCTACTATTGGTCCTTGCTCCTTCGGTGCTTTTTATATGATGTACCAACTGGCCCATCTAAGCATTTTATTCAGGTATTACTTCTGGTTGATTCAAACAAATCTCAAAGTTTTGGTTGTCCCGCTTTGTTTTTAATGTATTCCTAAGCCGCTTAATTCGAACGGCGTTTTCGTGGAATTCCTACTTTTTGTTTTGGCGGCCCCGTTGAGTGCGCTTCTTTTCGAGCATTGGTGCACTGCAGAGAGGCAAACACCACAGAGGCAAGCTTCTCCGCAGTGCACCGGTGCTGAAGTGCACTCAACGGGGCTCAAGCCGGCACACATAAGTTATGAAAACGTGCACACGTGAAAATTTCATTAGCAACTTGCGCGGACGCTCCGACGCGGTGGCATGGCATAGGTCCACGTCACAGCGTCCATGCAAGTTTCTCTGAAAACTGCTGCGCGGTACCCATTTTCCTCGCTTTCGTGTGTCCCTTGCTAATAGTTCACATCAGACTACTTCTTGGCCTGATGGACAAACTTAACTTTGTTTTGAGTTGTCACGATACACAACATACTTTAGGGACAAATAAGTTTGTCATACATTTCACAAATGTTTCATGTGTGGCAAAACTGCTTATGATCAGTAGATCTATGTAGAGAAAATTAAATGTCTGCTTTGTATGTGTAGCCATTCATATGGCAAATGATAATTTTATCTTGCATCATATTTAGATGAATTTTTCATCATTCAAACTTCAGATAATTCAAATAAAATTCATGGATTCCTGGATTTTGAAATAATGAAAGTCTCGTGTATTAAGATACACTGGTGGGAGACGGAATGTGCGGCATGTTTTGGCTGCACAAGGTTAGCGTGACAGCACATCATGCGACACCATGTCGCGTGGATTGACATTTCGTGACACCAGAACTAACCACGTGATCATGTCATGTGACATAACATGAGGGTGTCAAGACACGGTGTCAGGTGACGTGACCTCTGATCACATAACGTCATAATGCCATGCCTTTACACTACAATGTTGCACCGCAATATCACACAGAGATGTTGCACATGCAGACCACATCATGTGAACACTGCAAAATTTGGCAGGCAGGCAACAGTTTTTATGGATTTTCTGCGATGGCTTTTTATGGTGGTTTTTATGACAGATTTTCATGATGATTTTTAATGATTGTCTTTTTTTAACGTTAAGCCACACTTTACTTGGGGATCCCAGTCCTTAAATAAATTCTTTCTACAGAAAGTAAACTTCTGTTGCAGAAAAAAATTATAAAATATTGACAAACTATCTTTCCTGGTACACCTACAGTTTTGTCCAAAAGAAAAAAGAGGTTGAATAGTGTAAACTAATTGCTTAAAATGAAAAGTTAGCTCTCTTCAGTCTCACTCAGATAAACAAAATCTAAAACACCTGGCTAGTTAGTGAGCTGAGCAAATGATACCCAGTTGCTACACCACACTGCAACTGTTTAAAATAATTTTGGTTGGCACCAGGAGGAAGATATTTTTGCAAATTATGTCTGTGCACCTCAACAGATCTCCTTCCATAAAGAACACACTAAAGAGATGTGATGCTTAAAATTTCTAGTAAATAGTAATATGCAAAACTCTCCCCTTAAATGTCCCCAATACCAGTTTACTGCTAATGTCAATTATTGCACCTAATTTCTGCACCACTGGAACACAGATATATATTCCTACCACCTAAAGTTCTTTTCTACCAGGCTACTGCCCTGGAGGTAGCTAGTTGAAGTTCATTCCCTGTTTCTTGGAAGAAAACTATGCATGAGATGAAAGTTCACACTAAAGAGAAAGCACTACAGTTTCAACCTTTCAAAAGAACTTCCCAACTGATATGTAAAACCCCTAATATCTCGGTTGCATTTGTTTGATCTTTAAAAGAGACGTCAAGATATAATGCATCCAGAGATAAATGATGTGAACAGGTATACGAATTCGCAAACAACAGTTTCTCTATGTGCGTAAAATTGAAGAGAAAAAAAAAAGTGGGGGGAGGCAGCTGAGGTGTTAGGTGCTGCCGTCATGCCAGCAGTGCTGTTATGCAATTCTGAGAGTGCAACTTTCGAAAGTGTATGAGTGCAAGTGAGCCATCCACGAGGCAACTTCCAAAGCTTTGGGAGACCAACGTCACAAGCCGTTTCAAAGGCACACTGCAAGTCAGCAAGGAAGAGTGAAAACCCTGGTTAAACAAGCATTCAAAGCAAGACTGCCATTCTTCCCTTAGCAAAACACTGACGCTTTTTCAAAACAATGATTTTCCCTTACTCTCTAGGGTATAATCCTGTTAGCCTGTAAATGCAAGAAATCAATGTGTATGTGGCTCACAGTCATCCATTTCTCTTTTGTAGGGATGTTAACTTCCAAAGATCTAGAAAAATAGCTGATGGCTAAGCAAATATGAGCAGTTTCCTAAATATGCTACATCTAAAAAACAACCCTTTCCCTAACACCTTCCTTCTTCATGCTTATGAGATCTCCGCTTTTACAGTAACAGTTATGTCACTTAATAGTATCATACACAGTATCAGGACAGCACTACATAGCTTGTATTCATATCATTATATTACATGGCCTATGCAAATTCCCCTTCATATTCCCAGAATATCTTCAAACTCTCCCCCTTACAGTTATTAGCTTCAGACTAGGATTTGCTTCCTGATGACCCTGCCATACAAGACCCAAGCAAATATTGAGCTGCACTTGCCACTCTAATATGTAGCAACTTGACCTTTGCTTCCATAGCATTTTGCCATACTGTTATTTAGCTTGCATCTCATTGTCTCTGCTTCCCCTTTGTAAAGTCACTTTAAGAATACAATAAATAAAACTAAATTAAATGTGACTTTACTCCATGAGGTTTCTGCTGCACATACTCTTATTTTGACTGTTGCACTAAATGCACAAAATCTGTGGAAAGCCACCAATCAAATGTCAGAGATGTACAAGCCACACAAACTATGCCTGCAATTATGCATAAGGCAAACATCTGTAGGAAGGCTTAATCAAGGCAATGACTAGCAATTGCAATGACCTCTATTAAGACCTAACCGATGCCACTCGGCAGGGAATGATAAATTTTTTTCTTATTTTTTTTTATTAAAGGCATGTTCCATTCATTCATCTTTTCAATCATTCATTCTATTAAGTCGACAAATTTTGGCCTACAAACATCGCAGACCAGAGAAAAATCAGTGTGGGGTGCTGAGGAAAAAGTGGCCTCATGCAGCTGAAGATTCTCGAGTGCCTTTTAAGTGCAACAGCAGTGCTCCATTATGCTGGGTCGTGGTAGCGTAGCCGCTAGCCGTAGCTCCTGGGAACACATTTTCAGTATATGCAGACTGTCACGCTCGCTGCTACCTAAACCACCTAAAATCCCTCTGTTCAACTTGCAGGCGTTTTGGTTCTCACAGCTCTGCTGCCACAGGCCTTGCACAACAATGATCTTCGCAAGTGGCATAGAATACAACTTTCACCAGTCTTTAATTTCCTGCGACTCTGTCGGAATACATGAAGCGCACGGTGCGAGAAGATACTTTGGTGGTGTAGCTAACAGCGATTGTGACAACAAAAAAATGAGCAAAGTTTGAAACCCTTCCTATGAGATCTATTTAATCACTCTTAAAGCTGTGGTTTGATTTTGTGAGACCACCAAACTCTAATGCGCCAGTGTGAATTGGCTTACTATCGCCATACACCAGAAAAAAAAAAAAAAAAGCTTTCCAATTTATTTTTTGATACACGCTAACCCATGTAAACATCAGTCCACCTACAGCTGGATTAACAAACTAGTTCCAGCTGGATTGAGCAAAGGCCAGTTCCAAAATCCAGTTGGGAATGGACTGATTTTAACCTGGGAAGAAACTATTGTCCCACAAAAGCCCCAAGGAAGAAAGAGATCTCGTAGAAAGCGTGTCAAGCCCGCAATGGCGTTGACGCTCTTCAACGACCAAACGGCCGACCGGTAAATCTGGGCCAACCTTTCTTGAAGACCATGTTGAGGATCTTCTGGAGCTCGAGGCTGTTCACCTCCATGTCGTCGCCGGCAATCTTGGCGAAGAGAGCGCGCAACATCTGGGCACGTTCGGAACTGGGGTCCTCTTCTTTTGCACGGACCTGGGACGGACGGTGGCCAAGAGACGGTGGCAAAATGGGCTTGAACAATCTTCTGAAACTCGTCGTTCATTAAACGAAAAAAGTTTCATCTCGATCCTATGGATACAGTATTTTTTTTATTTATTTATTTGTTTGTCTTGAGTCCAGAAACAGCCGAGGCCTTAATACTGGTACACACTCACGCACAGCATTAGACGCAACATGTTTCCACAGCATTAGATGCAAAGCTAGCTGCCTTGTTCATACTAACTGTTTGAACGCAAACGCGGAACTCCGGCATTCAGCATTTGAGCAAGGTAGCCGCTAGCTTTGCATCCACCCGACAATTGTTCCAAAAAGAGCTCGGTGTTCCGACTTCTTGGTATGCTCTTTCCACCTGTATCGAGAGTTATTTTTATATTTTTCTGCGATGTCAAGTCACGCAATATACCGTATTTACTCGCGTAATCCTCGCACTCGCGTAATCCTCGCACCCCTAATGTGGGCCACCAAAAATAGAATTTTTCTTTTCCTCGCGTAATCCTCGCACCCCCAAAACTGCAGCGGCGAAAGTCGCCTGCTCGTGAAACCCGCATATGGCGCACGCACTCTCCACCGCCCGCATTTTCCGGCACCGCGCCGCTCCGTATGGCCAGAGTGCTAGCAGTCCTAGCGCCATCTGTCAGACTCTAGTCATACTGTCGTTGAGCCGGTCTCGCGACCGCAACGGTAGACGGCGTTAGCGCAGCCCCCGGTCGTCGCGTGTCGCGTCGCAATCAGTTGTCGAACTGGTCGAACGTCGAACGCTTTGAGCCAACCTCTTTGTTCGGTGCTGGTTGCCACTTCGCCATGGGGCGATACGCCAACTACACGGCTGCTTTCAAGCTGAAAGCGATAAACTACGCTATTGAGCACGGCAACCGCGCCGCAAGCAGACACTTCGGCGTCAACGAGTTCAACGTGCGCTACTGGAGGCGGCAGCACGGGGAGCTGCAGGCGACCAACAGGACACGCCGGGCTTTCCGTGGTCCAAAGACTGGCAAGTTTCCCCGAATTGAGACGCTGCTCATGGACTACGTCAAGGCTCTACGCTCCGATGGGTGCGCCGTGTCCATTGAGCTTTTGTGCAACAAGGCGCGCGCAATTGCCAGAAAGGAAGGCGTCCCGGCACAAGACTTCCGCGCCAGTAACGGGTGGGCCACGCGTTTCATGCGGCGCAATGGTCTCTCTTTGAGGAGGCGTACAACGCTTTGCCAACGCCTGCCCGAAGCCTACAAGGATAAGATCGTGGACTTCCACCGGTTCGTCATTAGGATTCGGCAGCAGAACAATTTTTTGCTGTCGCAGATTGGGAACGCGGACCAAACGCCTATTAATTTCGACATGCCCAGCAGCACTACTTTGGAGCAGAAAGGCGCACGCACCGTCCACGTACGCACGTCTGGCGCAGAGAAGCAGCGATGCACGGTAATGCTAGCTGTGACGGCGGACGGTCGGAAGCTGCCACCGTACATCATCTTCAAACGAAAGACTCTCCCCAAAGGAAAGTTTCCCCCTGGTGTGCACGTACGGGTGCAAGAAAAAGGCTGGATGAGTGCTGCCCTCATGGTCGACTGGCTTAAGACTGTGTGGGGGCGGCGACCGGGAGCACTTCTTTTTCCGTCGCTCCTCGTTCTCGATAGCTTTCGGGGCCATCTTGTGGAACCGGTTCGCACAAAGTTGAAGGAACTGCGCACAGACCTGGCTGTCATTCCAGGTGGCCTAACGTCCGTGCTGCAGCCTTTGGACGTGTCTTTGAACAAACCATTCAAAGATAATGTTCGAAGGTTGTATGCAGAGTGGATGGCCGAAGGCCAACACGATCTGACGCCGGCCGGCAAGATAAAGAGACCATCGGTGGAGCAGCTGTGCAGCTGGATAGCGGAAGCGTGGGGGATGATCGGAGCAGACATCATCGTGAAGAGCTTCAAAAAGACTGGCATATCAAATGCCTTGGATGCTACTGAAGACCACTTGGTGTGGGAAGAAGACGAGGCGTCCGAAGCCGACGAGAAATCGGGAGGTGACGACGAGACAACGACCAGCGATGCTACCACTGATTCGGACTGAGGCTCGAGTGTTTCCAAATTAAATCTTACTTTGTCTTAAACCTGTGGTTTTATTGCTAAGGTAAGCCCTGTATTGCTACTTCTAAAAACTTTTAGGTAGCTGCCGGCGCGAAAACCCCAATTTGCTGGCGCTTCGGTTTTTTATTTTTATTTTTTTAGAGCTCTACGTTTTCGGGAAAAAATTTTCCCCGCGTAATTCTCGCACCCCCAGCTTTCCATCGATTTTCCGCAAAAAAAAGTGCGAGGATTATGCGAGTAAATACGGTAGTCCCACGACACGGTCACGTGGTCAGTATCCGAGAGGAAACCATACTCTCCCCAAGCTACACGCACTGTGACCCCTCGCTTCGCCGCAGCAGTGCAGCAACCTTAGCATCAAACCGGCGCCAAAACTATCTAGAGAATAATTCCAGCTAAAACAGGTAAGGAGTTCTGTCAGACTCTTGTCAGGGGAGAGCGACAAGCTGAGTCTTTCGAATGCCCGGCCTTCAACAAGCGCTCCATGCCTTCCGCCGTGCTCTGACTGAGTGTGCACGCTAGAGGAGCACGAGGTGCCGAAACGTGGCCGAAGGTGGGACGTCCGTGCTGAAGGCGGGACAACCAGAGCTCCTCCCCATTGTTCTCGCCTGTCGGCGACTAGTCAAAATATCTGCAATCCGAACGCCCAATCCCAACGAACTGAATCCCGGTCACACCGATGTCCGGGTCGGGGTTCCTTACGTGCTCGGGAGTTGCAGATGTGAGTCGCATGAGTGTCTGGAAGAAGCGCGACCGATGTATAGGCACGTCGGTATAGCAATTCGCTACGTCATAAAGTGAAAAAAAAAACGAGGACAAGATAGAAAGTGGGCACGTCCGTCCCATTTTCTCCCGCTTCCGGGTTACCATGTCTGCACCAAACCTGCTTGACTGCCCGCTTGCTTTGGTTTCAATGACAGACAGGCAGTTACTCGTGACCGATATTTTATGCAAACTTCATTCAAAACCCCCAGTTTTTCTAGTGAAGTTTTTAAAAGAAACAAAGATATTAGCTCCTATATCTGCAATTAGGGAGCAAGAAAATGTAAAAACTGACTCACACATTCCCGTTCGGGTGTGCTCAAGCGTGTTGCGTTTCCTCGCAATACCTTAACACACTGGCACTAGCTTATTTCAAGCCCCCGGTGAAAAAATTGTGCGTAAAAAATTGTGTATATGCAGGTTGGAGGATTCAGAGATGCCCAACAAATGGCGGCAGTGTGCCAGTACATTGAGCAGTTAAAGGGGCTGCAACGCGATTAAGGACACTCGAAGGCAAACGTATGAACCAGCATGTGCATGAGCAAACTTGGGGTAGAATTTTTTCGACATGTACAAATGTTGAATGAACTATCAGTTATGTCACCGGGGGTGTCTGCTGTGCCTGTTCTCTATTTTGTCCTTGATTTTTCTGCGCTTCTTACACAGCGTAGCTCACGTTTCGCCACAAGAAGCAGAAATGCATTGTAGCTTTTGTTTTGAAGTAGGGTATAAACTTTCCTTAGTTGTAATACTGACATTGCCAACTTTCCAGTACTACTTGCTAAGCGTTAGTCTCGCCGCTTCTGTGCGTTGCCCGTGTGCGGCAGCTGAAAAATGTTCCAAAACGGAAGGAATGATTGAGGCTAGCTAGCATTCTGCGTGAAGACACAAGTGCCTTTATAAAACAATTTTTGTTCACTATAGAAAAAGACCAAATACGAAAGAAAGTCTTACATTGTCGTCAGGAGGAATGATTGCAACCTTTTCGTCATGTTCGCTGAAAAGAGAGCAAAAAAAAAAGGAAACATGGTCATGCATGATCTACCATCCAATGGCGATGACGAATGTTTTTGTGGCGTTTCTAGAACTTTAGAACTCCTCAGCGAGCAATAAAATTATGGCAACCATCGTCAACTTGCAACTCGTGATGCGTACCCACCATGTAATAAGAAACCAATTGCAGGCACATAACCACTTTACATGAAAACAACCTCTTGCACTTCCATGCTGGTCCCCTACGTGCAAAGATTTGTAATTTAGGAACTCTGAAAACTGCTCCGAATGCTTTGATGCAAGTCATATTTTTAAGGAAGCTACCTGGAGAGAAATAACCAAACCAAATGATCAGGCTTTTAGTGAGGAATTAAGAAGGATTCGCTTTGCGAGTCTGCAAAACTTTTGGTAGGCATATCTTACGCACAGTCGTGAGCCATAAGTGGACTTTACCAGGGCAAAGTAATTCTCCCTTATGGCAATAAAAAAGGCACCGAGTAAACACAAACAGAAACAGGCAAGCATTCAGAGAAAAACAATAACGTCTGCCAGAGGTGGGTTATATAGTTAAAACCACTTGATGCGTTTGTGTTGGCCAATAGTGTCAAATGCCCCACCGCAAGAGCAGCATGCCTCGTACAGCCCATGGAAGTGAATGGCGGCGGAGTACTCAATCTTAAAACGTGTCTCGTGTGTTTGCAGAACAATGGTTGGCGGTACTTGTAAGAGACGCCAAGCGTGAATTTTATCGAGAGACTAGCTACAGTAAGTCGAAACGCATTAGGTATGGCTATACTGTGTTCCACTAGTGCAAGCGAGGCTGAAGTTACCACTAGTGAGAGCGTAATCGCAGAGTGAGTCCGTGTGCAACGGCATGCTCAAGGTGCGGGACTCGAAGTCCCTTGCAGTCTTTGTTTTCCTTCCCTGGTGAAATAGAGTACATGGACAACATTTTACATCTATCTTCTGCTTTGGAAACTACAAACCTGTTTATAACAAACAGCAGGAAACGCTACCATCAGTTCGATATAGCAAGTAATTCGATATAACAAAAACCATTTACAACGAACTTCCACGATACGTTCGTTGTAAGGCGAGAGCTTCTCTTTCTTTCTCATCTGTTTGCTTCCGCCTTCGCTTTCTTCGGGAACAACGGTTTTGGGATGAAGTTTTGTTTTCTGTATGTGCGTGCAGACTGTATTTTTTAGCTTTCTCCTCTTATGAATCGCTTCTCTTTGCTCAATGTTGTTCCCAACTTGAGCATTTGGAATTTTCTTTCTTTCCTACCTTTTGTTTTTTGAGGAAAGGGTCAGGCTAGAAGACGATTGTTTGCGCGTTTTTGGAAGCCTTCCTGGGGGAAAAGTTTGATATAGCCAATATGTTCGTTTTAAAAAGTACTTTTTACATGCATTTTTATTTAAATTTTCCGTGAGTTCGATATCGACAATATTTCGCTGTAGGTGGGTTCGTTCTAAACGGGTTTCACTGCAATGTTCTGTAGAAAACACTGAGCTCAGAGCCTGGCTCATGCAGCAGAGCTGAGTAAGGGTGGTGACATTTGGTTTCCAAGCCCCACAAGTTAAAGTCAGGGTAACGCAGCACCATTGTTTTACGTTATGAATCTTGCGTGTGTTTATACCAATATATGACCATAAGCCACCAGTACCTCTGCGCTTCGTACAAGGCAGTGACCGGTTAAAGTAGCTTGGCACACGGAATACGAAGCACGGATGCGCAGGTGACTGGGGGTCGCACCTCGATGTAACCGTATTTAAGCTTCATAATGTAAGAAAACGGAGCTGCGTGTGAACGACCCTCAAGATTAAAATGAGAACTGCACTGGCACAGTTTCGTGTAATCACTAATGTGCGGTGCCCCCAAAAATTAATGCTGCTACGAGATGAATCCTTTTTGGCATGTTTTGTGTTATTCCTGGGCCTATTAGCCAAACTAAACTTTTGACTCCCCAAACACAACCCAGCCTAACAACACATTCCAGCTGCTGCAGTGATCAATTTGATTTGAGTGCCTGGCAAAAGATATACATTTGAGTAACTGCATGAGTGGCAGCTTTGAGTTTGAGGAGCACTGTACAGTGCATGCTCGAGGCCCTTTACGGCAGCCACATCACGCTACACAAATTGCAAAAAAAAAGGAAATATGGGGGTTGCACATTGCAATGCAACGGAGGCTATGAGCTACACTCCAGACTCTTTGGGGAAGAGACCTCACGGGGTTCAAACCCTACCCTTCGCACTCTGAAAACCGAAACGGAACCTCAACAGCAAGGTGGCAGCCACAAACCAAACGGCAACTCTCTCACAAAAAAAAAAAAAACAACAAAAAAACACTGCACCACAGGGCGGACTGATCCTGCACCGCAAAATCCTAAGCCACGCAAACGACAGCGCATTTGCCGAAAACATCTCCCGAGAAAAAATAGCAATACCACAAGTTGTATCTGCTTCGCATTCCCTTTACCTCACTTCTTCTGATTTGCAACTGTTTAAAAAATGTTGCGTTGTGTCTTATCGAAAAAGCAAGAAATGCAGTTTGACTTTGGTGACATCGTAAGACAGGTTTTAGAAGCTTGGTCCTTATTTATTAGTTAACTTTACGACGTTTTCAGCACCCGTCCCCCCCCATGCTCGAGTGCTGGGCAGCTTGGAGCTTGTGCGCTTGGATACCCGACTCGGCCCGGCCTTGCTGAGAGTACGCTGAGGCCTGCATTATGGGAAAACGCTGTACAGCTCTCTCAAGTGCCATGTTTTTTTGCCAACTAAGCAAATTTAATGTCAAATGTTTGAAAAGGCTAAAGCAGGAATTGTACCCAAAACAAAACGAAGGCTAAGAAATGGTTGTGAGGCATAGAAGGTTGAGAAAACAATTTATAATAAGTGGGAATTCTTGTCTAGCGATGGCTGGCAGCTTTCTATATCTGCAGGTTGGCAAAAGGCGCTGCTGGCAGAGGTGGTACTGCCAGAGCTGACAGCACTATTCTGAAACTGTTCTACAGATGATCATTAAATACTAAAACAATGAACTGGGCGGCCAGGGCCGTTGTCGGAATTTTAATTTTCTGCACTTCTCGGTATGCTTTAAGGCGCGTTCCCACCGGCGATGCGATCTAGTCGCGCGATAACTTTCATCGCAAAAGCGACCATCGCGGGCAAAAAGCGATGCGATTTGAGCAGTCGCTACTCGACCCGACTTTTTTGCAATGCGATCTAGTCGCGGAGCGGCTGAGCCAATCAACGGCGTTCGGAGCAAGAGTTTTCGAGAAACGACTCGCCAACGAAGCCGTTGGACTCGCTCATCGCGCACGCCGGTGTGACCATGTAGCTTTTTTTGCGATGCGATCTAGTCTCATCGCGCGACTGCTTACATCGCCGGTGGGAATGCGCCTTTAAAGGGACACTGAAACCCCCCAAAATGTTTTTTTTTAATTTTTTGTTAGCCAATCCATTGTGGTGTCAGAAGACTACCCAATCAATATTTTGCTACAGCATTAAATATATTTTCATAAAGACAAACGCAACTGCTCAAAGCCGAAACCGGACTGGGAAGAGAGAAGAAACATAGAGGAGGATAGTGTTGCTAGAAATCATGTGGCTGTGCAACTTTTTTACAGCGGGGCTGTTAAGGGCTAGGTTCCCCAGGATTGTGTCTGTGTATGTCGAAACAAACCTACCTAGACAGCTACCGCCATCTATAAGCGACGGCAGCAAGCACACAACCAGTATGGTTTCAGCCGTCGCTCGTAGATGGCGGTAACCTTTCTAGCTATAATAGTAGAAGAATGGATAGTTGGGCGTGTTGGTGGGAATTCATCGTAGGAAACAGCGCGAAAAACAGACGACGACAAAGAAGAAGCACACAGTGAATCAAGTACAGCTCCGCTGGTCTTCCTTCTTCACAAGTCTAAAAAGGCTGAACCTTTTTTTTTTCTTTTTTTTTTCAATTAAAGTATTTTTGGTTTTTAGAAGCCACAAAAAAAGGTATAATATTTTGTTTCTATTTTTAATATTGTGTGCGTGCCTTCAATAACCCATGACTTTGATTATCTTGGGTGATTGCGTTTAAACCGTAAAAAACGGCCCGTGACCACATAGAGGAAAGCGAGAGCAACTCAAACAAGCCAGTTCTCGATTGGCAATTTTCGGGCGGAAAGAAAACGAATTTCGAGCCGCAAATTGTGTTCTGTGTATAGTTCAGCTCTCATATGTCATGTACTAATAAAAACCTTGGTGAGCATAAATCTACCCTGTCAGTGTCCCTTTCAAGGTTGACTTTTAGAATAGTCTTCTGCCAGGAAAAAAAGACTGGTTCCCAGTTTCCTTTTCTCTTTCCTCTCACATTCTTCTCTCCTCTCCCCACTGAAGTCGGCCTGTGAGGTCCTCCCCGCAGAAAAAAAGAAAGTCTCCCCCTTTTCTCAAATGGAAAGGAGGAATTTAGAAAGAGTTCCTTCATCTCTGGCCGCTCGTCATCCTTTAACTGTCTCTTTGAGATTATAAATAACAGCACGGTAATTTAGTTCTCGAGCGGATGGTCATTATTTGTGCTTTTATGACACAAATATTATTGAGTGTAGCATCCGACAGAAAGCCCTGCCAGAGCTAACGCTCAAGCAGAGGTGGAACATGAAGTTCCCGTCTCTTGCAGTCAAACACTCTACTTTGAGCCTGCTATCTCAGATTTGGCAATTTCTTGGGAAACATGCGCTTCTTTCGCTTGTACTACTCTTCCCCCTCGCTTGCTACAAGGTGGAACATGAAGTTTGCATCTCTTGCAGTCACAAACCCGACTTTGACTCCAACCTCCCCATTTCCGCGGCAGCATGTGCCTTGCTCACAGGCTCCCGTGGAACAGCACATATGACTTGCCCAGACTTGTGTAGTGCAGGAATTTTGCCAGATGGGAATGTAGGTTTTTTTCTCCCCTTCCGGTCCAGTTAGGAACGATTTTCGTTGGAAGGGAAAGCGGGCATCTGCCGGCGTAGTTGAAATGTGCTCATATTGTAGGTCCCAGGATGCGGTCCCTCAAACACTCTGCTGCTGCTATCCGTCCCAAAAACAAAAAAGGGGAGGAGAAAAAAGCAAAGACGAGGAGGAAAGTCGTATCGTATCGCGTGTACTAGCGTGGTTTCTGTCTTTGCCGAAATCGTACGTATGTGTCGAAACAAATGCAATTTTCTAAAAACGAACTTCTTTCAACATTGTTAAAGCTTGAGACTTAGAAAACAAAGGTGTGGAAAACCCAGCACAGGGATTCGTTCCCAAGTCTCCGGTGTTCAAGACGTTGAAAGTTTACGAGCACACATGCGTGTTCCGAGTTATTTCTACCGGACTCGTTTGTCCGTCGTGTGCGGCCTAAATGGTGTCTCGTGTAAAGCGTCCTCAACACGTGTCAGCGTTAAAGAAGTGGGAAACACGGGCACTAACACGGAGACGTTCTTCTTCTCGGTGAAGACCCGGAGCAGGAACTCGCCAGTCTGGTTGGGCTCGAAGGTGGACGGCACCACGCAGTAGGTGCCCGGTGGGAGGCTGAAGCGCGTCGTCACCTCCCTCGAGTTGATGAACGTGTGTGACCGGGCCGCCGACGGGTTGAATTTGAAGAAGGCCATGTCCAGCGGGTTCGGGCAGTGGTCTGGGTCGTCAATCTGCCACAAACATCTGTCTCGGGACTCTTTTCCCAGCCCTCGGGAAGCTTCCGCAATGCCCAAAACGACGAGTGTCTAGGGAACAGTCTAGGGAATTGACCCAAAACAAGCAGTAGGGAATAATCGAGGACTTATCTTTAAACTTGTCCCTAAACAAGAACTAGGGAAGGTCTAGGGCATAGTCCCTAGGAACTTGATTCCAAACGAGCGTTATTCCCTGTTGCAGGCTAAAAAAAGTGGGACAAGCTCGTCCCGCAAAGCCCTCCACTCTTTTCAACTTTTGCGAGCAAACGCTGGAGAGGAGGCATTCCACCAGCACTCCCGTGTTCTTCCATAACATGCGTAACCAAAAATGGTCAGGTGCCAGCCACGTAACACATTCGGTGATTAACCCTTTGACGGTCATTGCCATACATATGTACACCCACCGGCAATATGAAGGTGAACACCTTACCTTGTTTCTTGCCTGTTTTATGGCTCCCTAAAGCTATATTAACTCTCAGCATTTCAAATGGTATGTGGCCAAGGGTCTAAACTTTGCATTTTAGCACTCTTCTAGATGGAACGGAGCTTGCTCTAAAACTTGTAGGAGCATCAAAAACAAGAAGAGGGTGTTGTGTATTCAGGTTCTCGCGCCCCGGTCCTCACCGAGGAGTCACATGTATTGAGGTTCTCCCACGTTGCACCAGATGGAACCACGCGTCCGAAGAGCACCGAACCGGGCGCGTGTCAGGTTTCGTTTTCGCGTGCCTCGTGGGGGAACGTCAATATACGCGACTCCTCGGTGAGGACCGGGGCGCGAGAACCTGAATACACAACACCCCTCCCAGAACCTGAATACACAACAGAGGGCTGTTCACCTTCGTATCGCTCACGGGTGTACGGTGGGGATTACACGTTTGAAAGTGCCCGCCTAAACGCGAAACTGCGCACACCACAGGAGGTGTTGCTATTTGTTAGGTCATTGGTGAACTAAAAATGTAATATTTCTCACATTGTTTATCATTGCTGGGCTATTTATAGTTTTTGAATTAGATGCTCAATGCGCGTGATGCTCACTTTGCATACCGGCCGCTCTGGCAGTAGTGCCAATGGGAGCACTGGCTTTTTTGATTCAGACTTCCAATGCTTTTCGGAATCAAATTTAGAGGATGAGCACTTATCATCCGGTAGAGAAGTTCTGTGAAGTAACCCCGGTTCAGAACCTGAGCCTTTGGAATGTCGCGGAAGTGGATGCGCCGAAATGAAACCAAACAGAAAAAAATGACCGCATCTCCACGTGGTGAATGATGTTGATTGGGGCGAAGCTCTGGTGGTGCTTGTCTGCGTAGACGCTGAGCCGCAGCATGCCGAGCCTTTTGTTCGTTTTTATCCATGTCAGAAAGAGAATGTGTGGTATGGAACGTAGTTATATACGCATTTGAGCATTTGACAGCAGCGCCTTCTCGTCTATAAACGTTGAGTTGAGGCATGCAAAGTTTAACGAGATTATATACGCATTTGACCGTAGCACTCTCTCCTGTATAGACAATGAGCGGCTACATGCAACGTTTCATCCATGACAGAAACCCCAGCTCTTGAGTTACTACCACATCTCAGAGCACCCTACTAGTCCCGCAGTTGCGGCCGAGTGGTTAAGGCGATGAACTACAAATCTATTGGGGTCTCCCCGCACAGGTTCGAATCCTGTCGACTGCTCAAACATTTCTTTTAGGGGCAAAGCTCCTTAGGGTCTAACCTTGTCCATATGGCGTCCGTGCTCACATCGATTGCCATCCCATCTGTCTTCTTAAAAAAAGAGAAGGTGTTTGCACAGTCGCCAGGATTCGAACCTGTGGGGGGAGACTCCGCACAGGTTCGAAACAGCTTGCAAGCACTGTACGTACATCCCCTAGATAATTTAGAAAAAACCTAAGCATTGACTCTTTTGTTTATACTATTCGTTTTTAAACAGAGCCAGACCAGTAGGACACATCTTTCGGAAAAGAAAACTCTATCGTCAAAGGGTTAAAAGCCTTCGCAACTTTTTAAACACAGGCACACAATGCTCCGTGTACAGGTGAATTCCTTTTGGGAGAGTACCTAGAGGGTTCTGGGCTATTAGAAGACCAGTAGAATACGGTTCCTTGGGCACATAAAGAAAAGCTTTAAGGGGAGATGCGGGTTTAAAAATAGACGTTTCTTCTCGAAATTTCAATTTTTTAAATGATTTTTTAATCTGTATATCTTCTAGTTTCATATAAAAAACAATTGTTAAAAAATTCGTCCTAGAAGTTACAAAAAAAAAAAAAAAGAAATTGAGTGCATTACCGTGACTCACGAAAATGTGGAAGTTGGTCAATTTCGACCTCGTGTCCCTCTAAACGTCCCACTTCAACAAGGAGTAAGCCTTCTTCTTTTTGTTGACTTCTTCCATTGCTTTGTAATTGCGTTATAAATAAGAATAAAAAATTCGGCAGAGGCACTTAAGACTGCTTACGTGTAGGAATGCGAAAGCATTCCTACCCGCAGCGCGTTCTAACAAGCAGCACGCCAGGACTTTTTTTTCTCACACGGCACTCTAGCAGTGACGTCACACTCTCCCACTGAGCAGGCGTGGCGAACCCCGCCGGCTTCACGACGGCTACCGTGACGAAGCATCTGTGTTGCCGTGCTTTTCTTTGTGTTTTATTTCCGAGGCGCGTCCACTTTGACCTAGAGCGGCGCATGTTTGATGACATATTTTTATGACCATCTTTCAGGGACAACGCCGACGCCTTTTCGCATAATGGGACAAGTAAGGCTTTCGTCTTAGGAAACATTTTACTGCGTCCTGATGAGACCCCAAGTGGTCTTTTAAAACCACCTGACGTAGATGCAGCACTGCCATTGGCTGCCGCCCTGACGCACCGTGCAGTGAAGCCGGCGCATCGTTTCTGGTCGCATTGCATCACACATTGTCTCAAACGAGAACTAAGTTTTCTGTTTGCTTATCGAGAGTTTCTCACTACTAATTACGTCGAGAAACGCAACCTTCGACTCCGGAAGGGCACACTTCTACGCAAAAGCGTAGAAGTGCGACGAATGAGCAATGGACCCACCTGTGGATCTACGACTACAGCAGAATGGCTATGCGCCTTCGAGCTCTTCGAGCACCACAAGCACTGAGCAACGAGTGCTTCAGAGCTCGTTGGCGACGTGTCGGACTTCGTGAGTGCTTCAGAAAAGAAGCTGTTGACATTTCACGAAAATAAAACCGTTGAGAAGGGAAGTGGCGGAGATGCCGTTATCTGCGAAAGTGAAACTTAGACGAGACTTGTGAGCGGCGCGACATGCGGGGCATGTGGCAAGTGCGAATTCGCTGTTGTGTAAGTTGAGGACAAACGCAAGGGTCTTGCACCTTTGCTGGAGCTCAAGTGCATGAACGTTGCATGCCCTTCCGAAGTTCTTTCGGCTGCATACACATCGCATTGTGCTTCAGCCACCAGCCATGAAATGTGCGACTTAGAACAATGGAGTGGAAGTGTCCGTAAAAGCTTAGAAGTCAACGTAAAGGCAATGCTCGAAGCGTGCCTTTATGTCGGTCATGACTGTGAGGGTGAGACCTATGCTGCTTGAGAGTTCTAGTGAGGGCGTCCAGGGATAAACATTTGGGACTACATCATCCCCAAGTTTCATATCGTTTGAGGAATGAGTTTGGTGTCTGACATAAAAATAAACTTTGAAATGCGTTTCTCTCAAATTGGTGCTTGTGCCTGTTTCCAGAGTTTGTGCACACAAAGTTTTCCTCTTGCAGTTGTCAAATCACAATGAAATTTTACACAGCAGTTTTTGAGGGCATACAGAGTGTGAAAGTCCTGTTAGTTACAAAAGAAATACTACCACTTTAAAAAGAGATACAAAAAAAAGTGAAATCTTAAAAATATTGACACAAACTTTCTTTCATTTTTGTATGAATGTTTTTAGGTATTGTTGATTTAAATATATATTCACACTCCGTAGTTTATCGGGAACCAACCTGGCTATTTAGGCTGCTTTATCCTTATAATTACCTAGTAGGAAAATTTGAGTGTACAAGATGGGTGTTTTTTATGCATGCCATGCAGCACAAATATTGAACTAGAGCAGCTATCTTAAAATGAATTGTATAAATGAAAAGAGGAACCCAATTACTAACTACTGCCGTATTTATTCGAATATAGGTCGACCTTTTTTTCTCGGAAATGTTGTCAAAAATTAAGGGTCGACCTATAATCGTGACCAAAGAATTTCGACCTAATTCGCAACCAAAATTTGAAACCCTACCGAGGGAATGGGGCTATCAATCACCTAGCCGGCGTCGCGGTAGAGCCGCGCGGCTTCTTGTTTCAAAAAGCTTTTGATGCACAAAAACAACCGAACAGCAGCAGCCGACAGCCCGTGTTCGCTAGGGCTCTCGCGCACATTTCTCGGGCGTCGAGTTTCGCCATCACGCCTGTAGCGTTCCCCTCGCTGGGCAAGGGGGAAGGGGAGGGAGAGGAACGCGATGCGCCATGCACTTTGCCCTCCTATGCGCTCCATTCCTCTCTCCCTCGCAAACGCGCAAACAAAACAACAAAAAAAACAACAAAAAAACGGAGCTACTTTAGTTTGTTTTTCTTCGGCGGGTCGCGTGTTACTCACGGGGCTCGCAGCGTTGCTCGTGTCTTTGTGTTTGATCTTTCGTCACTCGCCCGTCTCCACCTTCTTTCGTTTCTTCTTGTCGTCATCCATTTTACAACCGTGTCAGTGAGGTATTGTTGCCGATTTGCGAGGATGTCTACCAAGCTGACGAAGCTTTTTTGACATCGCCCTGTGATTTAGCTGAGAGTGCTGTAAATAAAGGTTTGTTTCTTTTGCCCTAACTTTCCCCTGTTCCTTAAAAAAAAAAAAAAAAAGGTCGACCTATATTTGAATTATTTTTTTTTATTGTCGGTGGGCTCAATAAATAGGGGTCGACCTATTTTCGTGGTCGACCTATTTTCGGGTAAATACGGTACTACTAATTTCGGCCCCCTAACCTCCATATTACAAAAAAAAAGTATGCAGGAGGAGCATCTTCCTTTAAACTAATTTGAGTATCCCCGACCAAACTAGCATCCCCAACAAAATCACTGTGAAACACTAACCACAGAAGTTATTACCTGCCGAATTCGAATCAAACAATTAACTTCACTTCCTCACCCATGGCCAAAGTCAATCTCCAAGTAAGTCGAGTGCAGTCGCAATTCATATGCAGATGGACGCATAAAATCTGACTGCTCAGTACTGGCAGCAGCCTTGGAACGCTTGGTTCCCAAAATGCACGCACAACAATGGACACCGCTTCATGACACCGTCACACCGCTTGTACAACAGAGTAGTGGACGGTTACACATTCACCTTCCCATATGTAGATCACGACTGCATCAAAGGGTAGACGAACAGGATTGAACCCTTCAAATTGGGCGGCTGCTTGCACCACCTAGCCACTGTGGCCGCAAGGTGTCCTGCACTCATAAGTCTGCCCACCTTGTAGAGCGCGAAGCCAATGGTGAGGAACAACCCAGCACCCAGGGTCCTCGCCGCTCTCCGGTTCTTCTGCATCAGTGCCACGATGAGGGTGCAGTTCTGTTCCTCGTCATCATCGTCGGGGTCTTCCAGCGTAATGAAGTACTGCGGGTTCACCCAGAAAGTGTCTGCAGGAGAACGAATGACCACAATAAAAAAATTAAGCATGTTTCAACCATATCTTATAAACTCTGAGATGGACAAAATGCGTTACGAATGAACTGGGCACATGCTGTCTGTATGTGTTCCAAGTCACATGATACAGTAACATCCTGCAACGTCATGATGCCACACGACATCTTTATATCATAAGAAAACACAGTCCCATGTGACTTCATGATGTAATGTAATGTCACATGACAGTCTCATATGACATCACAGTTATATGACCTCATAACATTATGCGACATCAGTGTCAAATGACAGCATGTGAGGTCACAACTTTTGACACCACGTGACACCCGAACTTGATGCCAAGTCGAGTGTGATGTGACGTCATGGTGTTATGTGATGTCGCAAATCACATGAGTTATAGTGTCATGTGATGTCAGGGTGTCATGTGACACCTTCAATTGTGTGTTGATCAAGCATTACGATCAAGTGTAACATGCCTTGTGAAACCCAGCCCTATAACACATTTCCTTTTTAGAATTCTTCTCAACATTGTACTGCACCATCTCGACAGAGATATACAGCGCCACTCACTGTATTTGCTCGTTGACATAGAAGCTTGCATGAGTTGATGATGCAAACTGTTGAAAGATGCAACGCGCAAAAGGATGCGCCGTGCTGTAGTGTGTTCCTTTCTGTTTGTGTATTGTTCCTTTACGCTGTACATTTTTTAATGATGTGTATTTGCTCGTGTGCAACATTCACTGTCGCTGTAACAAGGAGTGCCGTGTCAACATTCAGCATTGCCACAACCAGTACTTGAACACTGCAGCGTTGCATGTCCTATTTGTTCAGAGCTTAGCATAATTAATAATTTCCAAAACTTTGTCATATCCTTCCATGGCTTGCAGTAACCCATTGTTTGAGAGCTTGAAATGTGCACGCTTCTACTTTAAACTGGCATGCACAAAATTATATTTAAAAAAATGTGATGCACTATATTTTTAGGCAGTGAAAACCAGCTACAGTCATGTCTTGTTATTATGAATCCTACTAATATAAATACCCCTCAATAAAAACAGTATTTTGGCAATTAACTGGGTAAATACATGAATTTTTGTCTCGTATACTATAGACACTCACATTATGAACACTTTGTAGGGGAAATACAAGTGCCCATATTAACGAGACAGGACTGTATACAAACATTCATCAAAACTTTGCTGGTATACAGGGTGCTTAATTTTAATTGGAACAAATTTTAAAGAAAGATGAGTGATGCAGTTACATAATGTCTTCTTTGCAGTGTGTCTATGGCACTCAATGGAAATTACAGGGGGGAATAATTGTCATCATAAGTTGAATAACTGGCTAAAATCTGTAAATTAACTTTGTGTTAATTGAGAGACGCCAGACTGTGCGGCAGAGCGCTATCTACACTAGGCCCGCGAAAATTCAAACTCGGATATTTCATACTTCTGGTTAATCAAACAAATTTTAATATTTTGGTTGTCCTGCTATATCTTTAATACATTCATAAGCGCTTAAATCGAACGGCGTTCTCATGTAATTCATACTTTTCGTTCTTGCGGCCCCATTGAGTGCGCTTTTTTTTGAGCACCGGTGCACTACAGAGAGGCGACACCCACGGAGTGCACCGGTGCTCAATGAGAAGAACACTCCACAGGGCTCAAGCAAGGCACACATGAGTTACGAAAACGGGCACCACGCAGAAATTTCCCTAGCAACATGAGTGGACGCTGTGAGATGGCATGGCATGGCATATGTCCACATCACAGCGCCCGCGCAAGTTGTTATGAAAAGTGCTGCACGGTGCCCGTTGTCATTGCTCAAATTAAATGTCCCCATAGACAACTTCTTAGCCTGAGGAACAAGCTCAATTTTGTTTTCAGTTGTCAGGTGCAGTCTAAACAGTCAACGATAAACAACACCTTCGAAGGACAAATAAACTTATCTCATACATTTCACTGATGTTTCATGTGTGGCATACCTGCTTCTGATCAGCTGGCCTATGTAGAGCTAGGAAATCATCAAATATCTGCTTTGTATGTGTAGCCATTCCTATGGCAAATCATAATTTTGTCTTGCATCATATTTAGATGAATTTTTGATAATTCAAACAAAATGTGTGGCTTCCTGAGGTTTGAATGAACTGATGAGAGTCTACTGCAATCTCCATTTTTCCTTACGATGAACAGCAGCAGATGTCTAGAGCCACTGGAGTCTGTCCAATGCCAAGCGAATACCACGTGACCTTGCGGATAAGTGCACAACAATGCGCAGGGTGCATATATCCACATGATACCTTCACAGAGCTGGATTAGCTGATATGGCTCATACCACATCCTTAGATTACCTTGCCTGGAATCTTTTAGCCATACCACGGAAAAGTTTTAATTAAAGACAAATCAAAGCACCAGAAGTGCGCTGCCCACGTAAGGCGTCAATTAATCCGGTTGCTCAAAGAACCCAATGAATGGATGTGGGTTCGGGAAACCCGCCGTGGACAAAGTCGTCGGATGTCTGTGCTCTTTCATAAAACTCCGTGAATCCATCGAAACCATGGACGACAGGAAATGCAATCTATACTTGAGACCTAGGGGATCATATTTTGGAATAATAAAAAAAATCATGCAAAGGCTCCTAACCTGCTTTAAAAAAATTATTGAAATTTTTCAACCCTTTCCTTCTTACAGTGGAGCTGTTAAGAGTTAGTTTCCCCAGTTTCGTGTTCGTAGACAAATAAGTCTCGACACAAAACTCCTGACAGCTACACCAATCTATTAGCAACAGCGGAAACCAGACAACCGGCTTGCCGGTTGTCTGGTTGCCGTCGTCGCTCGTAGATGGCGGAAACCTTTTAGCCTTTCCATTCTGGTTTTCACCAGAATGGAAACACAGAATTTCCCTAAGCGTCATCCTAAAGGTCGTCCTTGAGGTTGTCCTAGACGTTGTCCTTGAGGTAGTCCTAGAAGTTGTCCTTGAGGTCGTCCTAGAAGTCATCTTTGAGGTAGTCCTGGACATCGTCCTTGAGGTCGTCCTAGAAATCGTTCTTGAGGTCGTCCTAGACATTGTCCTCACGGTCGTGCTAGAAGTCGTCGTTGAGGTCGTCCTAGACGTCATCCCTGAAGTTGTCCTAGGCATCATCTTTGAGGTCGTCCTAGGAGTCGTCCTCAAGGTTGTCCTATGAGCCGTCCTTGAGGTTGTTCTAGACGTCATTCCTTGGGGTCGTCTAAGAAATCGCCCTTGAGGTTGTCCTAACATAGTACAGTTTCGCTGGGCTACCTTCTTCACCAGGGTGGAAAGGCTAAAAGCTTTTACAGCGGAGCTGTTCAGGGCTAGTTTCCCCAGGATCGTGTTCTCCACAGAGAAATGAAGACACGAAACTTTGGACACCTACCGCCATCTATGAGCAATGGCGGTAAGCCACGTGTCTGGTTGCCGCCGTCGCTCATAGATGGCGGCAGCCTTTCCACTCTGGCTTGCCGACTTGCGGCCGGCCATTACTTTCCATTGTACAGCTCCGCTGGTCTTCCTTCTTCACCAGAGTGGAAAGACAAAGTTTTTGCCCTCTGGTGCAGTCCATCATTAGGTGCAGTCAATCATTTCCACACTGCAGTTCATCATTAGGTGAAACCGGTGTTGGGATGTACTTTGAGTATGTGGTACTTAAAGTACTAACTCAAGTACAGTCGCCGACCATTTTTTCGGACTTCGATATTTTGGACTTGTTTGATATTTCGGACCTAAAGGCGGAACCGTGACTTACCCCATAGAAATAGTGTATATTCACGACCAATGTTTCAGACAGCTTGAAGTCCAAAAGTTTGATTATTCAGACAAAATCGTCGCAAGCGATCAGCGGAAAACACCATCGAGAAGCGGCCATTTTCAAATCTATGTTGGCTGCCAATGGATTGGCTTGGTTTGGCAGCGCTACTTGAGCACTCCTGAGTCCTACCGCTAGCTGGCGCTATGTTAGCCCTTTTTTTCCCATTTAGCTGCACGTCATCATCATCATCATTATCATTTTGCTTTGTTTTTCGTTCCTTCGCATCGCCAGTCGCCATTTTGCGCTCGTGGATTTGTGCCTCTGATCTCGTTCCGACAACGCTGGCTTGGACGTCATGGCCCCATATGTTGCTCTGCCGCTGCGATCTGTAGTTAAAGGGCGACTCCGCTCAATTCCGAAGAGTTCGGGATGATTAGTGAATTCGAATTAAAAAGCCCTAGTAAAAGACATTACGTCGTTTGCTTTGCGAAAAATGGGATATAAATTTTTAAATTAATTTTAAACACGAGCGGAAATCGAAACCGAAACTTCGGCTCCGTCCGGCAACATTGGCCTCGGGCCGCCAAGTACATGGCCATCACGTGGTACGAGATGTCACGTGATCCTCAGCCCAACGACGAGCGGGATGGGGGCGGGCGTGCGGCAGGCGCGAGTGTCGTCTGCACTGCACTCTTCGCCACGTTTTGGTGTCTACGGCATTCGACGATGTCTGCACAACTGCGGCATAAGTCTGCGACTCTGCGCACGTGGTGTCCATAGTGTGGACGAAACTCCGAGAGGTAATAATCACAAACGGTGAGACGACGACGGTGGTTGTGACACGGAAGGCGGCGGTAACGGCGGGACCACGGCGGGCGGTTGGTCTGCTCCCAAGAAGTGCGCTGCGCAGGTGCGTACGCCAATCACGTAGACACTGCTGAGCGCCGAGAGGCAACGTTGCCGACGTCGTGCGCTACGCTCGATCGGAAAAGTAAAAACAAGCAAAAGGGGGGCCATGATGATGACGTTTAGCTCAATGTTGGCTCCGCCCATTCCGTAGCCTTGACTGCGCTGTTGGTTGCGCCTGAATTCGCCCTTTCGAGTCAGCCGATTTCGGCAACTTGGCGAGCTGCAAAATTTGCCAGACCGTTTAAGAAACATTTAGACAGAACTGCGTAGTAATATTTGACGTGTGGTCTTCCTAGGCGATACTGAAGAGGACTGCATTGTTTTTTCAAAACCAAAAATGAAGCAGAGTTGCCCTTTAAGAAGCGCAGAAAGTGCTCGACCATAACGCTAGAAAAGAAGGCAGCGATTCTCAAGCTAACAGAAAGTTGCCGAACAAAAACGGAGGCGTAACAAGGCACGCAGGCGTAACCTGAACCAAGGCACTATTTACGGCTTTTTTAAGCCCACTTGGAAGTAATAAAGGCAAGTTTTTCAATCTGCTGATTTTTCGGACTGCTCTATTATTCGGACGTTTTTTCGGTCCCAGCAAAGTCCGAATTATCGGTCGGCGACTGTAGAATTAGAAAACTTGTATTTTACTTGAAATACATCCTCTGAATATGTACTTGTATGTTAGCTTAAGGGGGGACACTGGCTAGAGGTCGAACTTCTTAACTACTCAAGTGATTGGAATGAAATTTAGAGAGGAGATTTAACCTCAGATGTAGGTGTACTGTGCAAACTTTCAGCTCTCCAGGACAACTTTACATACCTGCATAAGAAAATGTGTCACTCTTTGTTAAGAAATCTATCATATGCAAATGAAGCTATTAAGCACCATTTTGACTGCTAGAATATAAAGTGGGGGATGTGGCACTTTGGGCTATCTAGTTTTTATAACTCAAATGTAAATATTTCAGGAAAAGTGATTACCTCAAAATATGAGATGCAAATCTGTCCCATGTCAATTTTTGAAAACTTGGCTTTTTATCACTGAGGACTTTAACTTAAAACAAAATAAAGTAGATAGCCCGATTCCCCAGTAAATTTCAGTTCAGAAACATCTTGATTGTGGTATCTGAACACTTTCACCTTCGAACAAAAGATTCCTTCGTATGAAATTTGCAGCAAAAAGTGGAACTGAGAAAAATGCATTCAAACATTGAACTCCTTTACTTTGTTACTGCCTCACAACTGTTGAAAATATTTTATATCATCGTAAATATTTGGCGTATGGTTATCAAATTTGGTGTAAGGGTGTATAATTAGTTTCTAAAACTGAAAACGTCAAAATTGAAAAATGAATTTTTTCAAAAAAAATAAAAACTTTAGGCCCATGTCCCCCCTTAAGTATTTGTTCTGCTACTTTCTGAGGAAAGTACAACTGCTGACTTCAAAGTACATTCTCCAAATTTGGTCTTGTTAACCTTGTATCAAAATGATGCTTTCTCAATTCAAAAGAAATACTGGGAGGGATATTCTACTTTCACCAGAAAGGAAAGCAGACGACGCATCACTCCGTTTTACTGAAGGCAGCTTTCCCGCTGCATTTCGAACTCGGCAAGAGTAAAACAACTGCTCTGTGCTTAATCGACTTTATCCAATACATTCGCCTCCACTTCCGAAAGTTACCCTGGAATGATGCATACCAGTTTTAAAAAAAAGCACTGTATAGGGAAAGGAAACGGAATCGTGAAAGATTGTGTTAAAAAGTAGTCATACTTTACTTTTAAAGTACATTGTCGTTATAGTACATTACTTCAAGTACACTATGCCTGGCATACTAAACTTGAAGTACATAACTTCCCATTTACTTTGTACTTTACTTCAAGTAGATTTTAGGTGTACTTTACCCAACACTGGGTGAAATGGAGTATGCTGTACCTTCCCAAGTACAGTCCACAAATTATCCGTGTTTCGAAGTTTAAATTTTATATGGTGCAGACTACCTACTGCTACAGACTATACGAGGATTCGGTTTATCTAAGTCGTTTCCCATGACGAGACGTGGCGGATTTTGTGAATGACAAAGTATGTTAATGATAATTTATGCGCAATACAAGCCTCGTTTTGAGCTAATAAAGCAGGCATTTGTCCAGGTGTGCTGCGTATAATTTTTTTTAAATTGCAGATTAGGAACTAGGTGTGGACCATCTAACGAAAACCTTTTTTTATCGATTGAATTCGCCCCCGTGGACTATACACCGAAAACCACACCATAGCCCGGAAAATATATGTAGAAATGGGACGAAAGAAGGCGTGGCCCACTTGCCCAGGTAGTTTCGGCATCCCCCCGCGGTGGCACCCCGCACCCAGGCCCCTTCGAAGATGGACACCTCCCACTTCTTCTTGGAGCTGTCCGTCAGCATGTCTTGATCCAGGGCGTCGGGTCCCAGGTTGCAGATCTCGAGAAAGTGGAACTCCTTCAGGAAATCCCTCTCTGACATCCTAGCAGCAACAGGGGAAGGAAGAGGAGAAGGTCAGCGGAACTGCATGCTTTCTCGCATGCCATGTTCACCTTGCATTCCTAGAGACATGGTTTCTTATAATCTGTTGCACATTAAGAAAAGTGGGAGAGGCTCCTCCCACAAAGTTCACCACTCTTTCCACTTTAGCAAAGCGAACGCTGGACAGGAGCTGAGTGGAGAGGAGGAAGCCACCAATCAAGGTGAGCAGAGAGCTTTGAAGGAGGGGCTTGTCCCGCTTTTTTTAACCAGCAACGGACTACAGGAATGCGGAGATTTTTTTTTGCCGAGAGTTTCACATGAGCATTGGGGGTTGTTTGAAATTCCCGCGCAAGGTCATGTGGCTGTGACGTTATGACCCTATCACCCGATCAAGATTTTCCCGTCCCAACGACGCCGGCTTTTCTGTGACATGAGCTCCTTAAGGCTATCACTTTAAAATGCATGTATTTACCCAGTTGTTCCAAAAATATTGTCTATGTGGCGGGGGTATTCATATTAACAAGGTCCATATTAACGAGACATGACTATTAACAAGGACAATGGTCGTGAATGATCTAGCCCCGGTTTAGATCATTCTTAGACGGTTCGAACTCATTCAAAAGACAAGGAATGGCGGGCTCACCAGAACTCTCCGTCTGCATCAAAGGTAAGTCCGATGGATTCCCTCTCGCTCTCCGAGACCAGACTCCACTCCCTGGACCTGCGACCAAAACACAAACAGAGGGAACCAGTCACACTGACGTCTTGGACAGATGCAACATTAGGGGCCAACTGAACATCATGAACAAGTGTAACATTAGAGACAGACATTGTCATGGACAGATGTAGCATCACAGACAGAGCATGCAGCCCTTTCCCGCTAAATTTCGTGGGCAAGCTTTTTGGCTCAGAGGCAATTCTGAAAAAAGATGCCACGTCATGGTCGGAGCACACTTGGTCATATGATCACGATGTCACAGTGTCCAAGGACACCGTGACGTGATGCACCATCTGACATCGGGAGGCACTCACCTGGACGAACACTCTGTGATGCATTCTTTGAAAAAAATAGTTGAAGTCCAGGTGAGCTGGTACATACCGTACTAATTGTGACGTTTAAGCACCAAGACTGAAAGGAAACGCTGTCTGTCCACTTTCTTCTGTCCCTTCTACTTTGTCATGAAGTTTCCTTCCCAGTCTCAGAGTTTAAACGTCATGATTAATCTGTTCTTCCATTGCAGGGGTTCGCCAAAGGCCTTACCATTTTGAATACACTTGTTGAGATATAAAACTGAAGCGATACCTATCTCGAACACTGTTTTCAACACTGGCCACAAAAAGGGACACTTTTGGAAAGTCCAAAAGGTTCTGTGGTGAAATAGAGGCGAAATAAATTTGAGCACTCTTTTGTTAATCTAGAGACAATCAAAGTGATAGCATAGCTGCAACACGTCACAGCAAAGTTGTTGGGTATGGGCGTCGCATTTGCGCACCGTGGGGTGCATCAACAAAACCTATCGGAACCAAATTGACATCAGACCATTTTGTTCCAAACATTTGTTTCTTTTTTGCTCCAGAGCACGCCTCCTGGCATGAGCTCTTGGCAATGACAGTGCTACGACGGCATTTTGTTATTGGCTATTCGTCTCTAGTTTTACAGAGAGCACATGCAGTGGGCATCGAGTATTACAAATTCCCAACGCTTTTTCTTTTTGTTCTGGATCGCATCTCCCGGCATGAGCAGTGCCACGACGGCATTTTGTTATTGGCTATTTCTCCATATTTTTCCAGAGAGCGCGTGCAGTGGGCGTTGGGTACTACAAAAACCCAAAACAAAGAGCAGGTTATTAATGCTGTGACGTAGCTCAGTGGTTACGTCTCTGCTTTCCAAACGGCAGACCCAGGCAATCTATTTCGAGGATTTGGCAACTTCAACGACGAACACCCCCATCATCAGCTACAACAGCAACGTCATTAACTACTACTGCTACTACATCAACAACTACTACTACTACAACTACAACATCAACAATAGACGGTGTTTCCAGTGGTGGGAGGAGCTTATAACAGCTATCGCTGTAAAAACGAGCAGGCACATACTTATCACTCCAGGCCCCTCTCCACTCCGTGTCATCGCCCCACGGATTCCGGAGTCGGATTAGAGGCATCCTGCCGTTGAGGCGCTCAATGAAGACCTGCGTCAAGAAATGGCGCCAGGGAATGGGCACCCTTGTGCTAGTGGGACGTGTAAAATAAGGTACGCCTAGAGTATTGACACTCCATTTTTCCAATTGTCTAGCGCACAGACGCAATTGGCGATAGTTACAACTCTAAAATGACACTTCGCGAGCTTTAAATATGGTGTCAGGAAGCTCAGGCAACATTGTTCTTGCTCAAAACTATAGGTAGTGCAAATAATCAAATAGTGGTTTCGAATAAATCGCTATTCGATATTGCTTCGAAATGAACTGCAATATTCATATTTTTAAAAGTGTTGTCGATTGCGGTGGGTTAGCCCCATTGAGCAAGCTTCTTACCAAACACCGGTGCACTGCGGAGAAACAACACCCGAGAAAACTCGCTTCCGCGGATGTAGCTTTTCTGCAGCACACTGGTGCTCAGTAAGAAGCGCGCTCAACATGACTAACCCATTGCGATCATTACTTTGAAAAGTAAAAATATTGCAGTCGCGTGCTCAGGAGGAAAGCACACTTTCAAAGCGGGATGGTACACGTGCATACCTGGTGTATGTATCAACAAAAAAAATGGGAACTTTATGAATGTTGAGACTACAATAAAATTGTCAAAATTCAATTGTGGCTATTATTCGAGAGTATTATGTTAGGCAGAGATGCCCTGAGAACCTGAATTCATCATTCATGACTGTCTTTTTTTCTGTTCTCAAATACTAGATTTAAAAAAGGATATTTGCATCTAGCAAGATTTATAAATCCCCTCTATTAGGTATAGCTGAGCGTATCTATAGGTTTATTTTGGGTCAAGTGAATCATTTACTTGCTACCCCCAATGTAGGTTTTAACCAGTCAATAAATATAATTATAATAAAATTAACTTTGTATAGAAATGGGCAAATGGAAGCCTGGGAACAACCTTCACAAGCTTATCGGGGCTTCCGTTTAAATTAAGCAAGGTGCAGTAGTTTGAAACACTTAAAGAAACTATATGATATTTGAATTGAAAATATTCCACCAAAATTACCTATTTGCTTTGAAGTCGCTTCAACATCGAAATCCATTATTAGCATATGACTACTTTTAACGCCGATTTTGAGCAACAAGGTTGTTGCTACTCTTAAGTGTAGCCTATTTAGTGGCTCTGGAATGTCCATGGGGCACCTAAAGGCTGGTTCATACATCTGTTTGACCATGACCAAGAGCATTCTGAACTCTCGTAGCCGCGTAACACACTGCCACACTGGCTTCATCTATCGGATACACCTGGAACACTTCCAACCTGCGCACAATTTGTCATAAATTTTACACACTATTCTTTCACCGTGGCCTTAAAATAATAAAATTAAAGGAAGATCCATCCTAAACTAACCTAACCTAACCTAACAATGACCCCTTCACTTTTCTGTTTTGGCTTTCTCTTTTGTTTCCCCTATTTTTCGCTGCCTCTTTTTTACTTTGTTACGGGGTTAGTGTAAGTGTTTCCCAAAGGAACACGTGCATGGCATTTCCCAAGGGTCATCCTAACGCATTTTCTAAGTATCCACCAATGGATCTTCTTTTAATTTTTTTTTCAGCCTTGGTGCTTCTCGTTCACCAGTCTTTGCACGCTTAGCAGCAGCATCATCTGCTGCCTGCCGCTGCTTTTGCTGTTCACCGGTTTCCGCAGCCCGTCTCCTTCGTTCACAATCCGTCTTCTTTTGCCGCCTACTTGGACCAGCGGTACTACCTGGTTCACACTCCATTTTGTAGAACAAACCAAGACAGATGAGCTCCTTACACCTGCAAGTTCAAACTCGCCCCAGCATCCCAGAGCGCAATGGCTTCCGCCCCGTGACGTCACCTCCTTCTCTACTTTGTCCTTCACTTCTCCCCAACTCTACACGGCGCGTTTCTCTTTCCACTGCTTTGTCCACAGACAGACACCGTCAGCTTTTCCCTGTCATGTGGGTACTGATGTAAAGCATTAATAATAATACTTCATTCAAATAACAAATTACAAAGACAATAGTACTGGCCTCCAAAAGCAGCGTCCTGCCTGTGCATAGGGCCAAGCAACCAGCAAGAATACATGTACAAATATGCTCAATACAACAATGAATACTGCAAATACTGCAAAACTTTCAGTCTAGTTACACAAACGTAGGAAGTGTTTTGGACATACAGTCAAACCTCGATTTAACAAACTTCTATGTAACGAAACCCCTGATGTAACGAAGTACAAAACTTTTTCTAACCGCAAGTGTATGCACACCCTGTATTTTTTATCTCCATGTAACGAAGTCCCGTTTGCCGAAATTTTGATGTAACGAAATTTCATGGACAATTTGTCACAAACTTTTGGGTCCCAAAGGAAATTTTGGAAAGCACATGCGCTGAAATGGGCCCCCGATAAAGCGCAAAGGGTGAAACGGGCCGAATCTGGTGAGTGTGGTGGTGTATAGAATGCCTACTAGAGGACACCAGAGCCGCCACCGTTTCATCCGTCGGCTTCATTCGCGCTGCGTAGTTAGTTTCGAGGCCTAACTAAAAGCATGCATTTCTCATTGTCCTGGGTGATGGAGCCGCCCCTGACAAGGTTGACCTCGACTCCTTTCTATATGCCGACACTGCTGTCATTGCAATGGAGGAGCTGACCAATGGGGCGATAGCTAGCTATGTTCATAGGAACTCGCAACATGGGGAAGACATCGAGCCTGATGACCAAGACACCTGCTATGTGCCCAGTAACCGTGAGGTGGTGGACGCGATCCATGTCTTGAGGCGGTTCGCGATCACACATCAAGACGAAGACGCGATGCAGGCCGTCTGCATGCAAACGTCGCTTGATGCCAATAATAATGCCAAGAGTGGCCCAGAAAAAGGTGACGGAGTACTTTCAACCAAAATAGAGGCGTCCTTGGTGAGTTTTGTGCACCGGAGAAACATTTGTGGAAACTTTCTTTAACGTTAGCCTCTAATTTCTATGTAGCGAAATTTCAAAGTAACGAAATAAATTTCAAATTTTACCGACTTTGTTACATTAAGGTTTGACCGTATACTCAATAGAGGGCACCAGTGTGCCAGTGTGTTGAGCAGTTACCAAGGCCGTGTTCCGAAATTTACTCGGTCTTACTCCAAGGCAAGGGTGTTGTACCTTTGCATTCGAAAACCTACCTGCATTCAGCATTATTCAATCTGTGTTGTCACATGACATGACCCGCTGGAGCAATTTGGGTTCATTTGGGCAAGATATAAAACACAGCCAAAGAGATCACAATGCACTCGGTCACCAGTCGCAGTTAATATGCGCACCAGCCTTAATACAAACCAAGGCACCCACTACACAGTGAGGTACCCAATACAGACCGAGACATAATAAGTGATGCACAATTTTGTATTGCTTGAGCCACCACAGCACTCGAGATAATAATCATTTAAGCAGTTACGACTCAGCTTATCCAGAGACAGAGAAAAAGGGTGTTTTGTCGCTTACATTAGCACTCTTATATTATGCATTTATTGTGCTAAAATATGACATGCTTAGTTATTGCCAGTTCATGGCTGCTGGTACCAATGCATTCTCTGTGGGTAAATGTTTCAAATCATGTCGCTTCTGAAAGCATTAAATGATTCATCTTAATTTTCTTTTAGTTGAACTTGCAGCGCACCTGAATCTAGCTTTTGTTGTCAAAAACGTATTCAATTTTATGAACCTTTTATCTTTTTAGCATATGCTGAACGTTTGCTGGATGAGAAATAGCTAACTGAAACTCCCTCCCCCTTCCCTCCCCCCTCAAAAATTTTTTTTTTTCTTTTTGTTATTATTTAAAAAAAAATTAAGGCAGTCAGCTGGCTTATTTAAAAGCTGTATGTTTCAAATATCTAATGCAAAAGCCAAGGCGATACGCTCCACTGAGAGCCAGAAAAAAGGGCATAGTTGCAGAGCGAGGACACCACCATACTAATATAATCAAATAATGGCTATAGGCAATACATTTGCTCCCATAATCATATTCCATAAAATGCCAGGGAAGTGCCGACCCCACTTTCACTGAAGACTGGATTAACCTAGAAGTGGGTGCTTGTTCAGTCAAATCTGGAGCTTAATGTATAATTTGCAAAATTCCCAAGTGTGGGAAATGTTAGTAGTGGGTGCTTAAACAAAATGGGCGATTCCGCAGTATTTTACGGCAAATTGGGGCGATATTTGTGGTACAGTCAAACATCACTATGGCGAATTCTGCGCACCCGACAAAAATTTGGCATAAAAGTGTAGACTCACAAGTCTAACTGCTGTGATACTGTAGGCATGACCGGCGACCAAACCGCTTGCCAATTTTTCTTCAGGTATGGACCCCACCTACGCAAAGAAAACATGAATTCAAAAACAAAATCTTGAATAGAAACATTTTCAGGACTGCAAGACACTGTTCAGAAAAAGAAAAGAAAAAACATGCACATGCACTCATTCTATCAAACAATTTTTCAATTAGCAACATTTGAGCAAATGATAGCACTCATTCAAGTGAATGGTACTATTTACTGAGAAGAAATTTGAGATGAGTGAAATGTGGACGAAATCCACTTGAGCCAAGTGCCAACAAAACCATGAACATAAGCAACTTCTTCATGACTTCAGTGGTGCTGACCTCTAGATTACATCAGTGGTGCTGTCTAAAGCAAGCATACGCAGTGTTCTACTCATGTCAGTGATAGCAGCTTGTTTAGCACATTCACTCAAACATCATTCGACAAAACAAACATGATACAAAATGACTGCCATTCATTAAACCACAGTTCAGCGAAATAGCTTTTGCCTAGATGCTATGATGTGAAAGAAGCATGCACTATGCACAGTAAAATATCAAGAAAACTTGGAAAATGCTGCCCATCCTGCATGAAACGTGAGAGCCTTCAATATTAGAAAAAACCAAAGAATAACTCACCCTGTTATTGCGGCACTGCTGGCAGACATTAAAGGCTGCCAGCAAAGAACTTATTAGCTCCAATAGGCTTCGTTTGATCTGTGTACAATACATATCACAACAAACCTTCAGTTTCCCACTGGAAAGCCTCGCGTGAATTTGAAGCATGGGGGCAATGCTCAAATAAAAGCTAGAGCAATTACAATTAGTCAAATGAAAGCTCACAAATGCGGTGCAAGGCATTGTGCGAGGATGTGCAGCATTTTCTGTGCTTAGAGCTCGCAGTGCCAAAATGACCGACAAACAACAGGAAAACAAGTCTGGCATTGAACACATAAAATATACTACTAGTAGCAAAGAAAGCTTGGCAGTTCAATGTGCAGCTGAAATAAAAAGGAAATTCAGAAACACAGTCACAATAACCAAAATTAATAAAGCTACTGTAATGGCACAGCACCAACGGACGTGAAGCTTGTAACGAAGAGTTGCACCCTTCGCTGCCAATGTCAGAAGCAGCGCCTTAGCACAACAAAACTTGACTGCTGAAGTCAGATGTTTTTAGATATGCTCTGTGGCAAGCGGTAGAATGGTGTCCAACATTTGTTTATAAAAACTGCCATTCAATTGGATGCTTCTTTGCAGCTGTAACGAGACATCGCAGAAATCTAAACCGGTCGAAGATAATGATGTCAAGTAGGTACCGACCGTTTTCGAAGGCCATACTCATCGCCAACTATTTTGTGCCACATTTTTAAGACTGCCGTAATTTCCGCAATGCTCTAACACTGTCAACAGAGCCACTTGCACAAGCTTGTGGCTTTGTTAGGAGTCTTCTCCGCACGAGAGCATGTACAAAACGAGACGCAAGACAAATGCCACGTGCTCTCGCAGCAGTGAAAGGCTGCAGCACTAGCAGAAGATATGCTAGCGTCAACAATGTAGCATAAAATAGGTGGCATCGAGTATAGCTAGAAACGGGGCACCGAATTGAGTAAGCCAGCCAGCAGAGCTTGATAGCAGACGATGCTGGGGACGTACGAGTGCAAAGCAGCTTGGGATTGCCAGCGGTTTTCGACATCACTCAGTGTGATGTCGTGCCGGATTCTGAGGTGTTTTAAACATTCTCAGTCACCATCTATAAGGCGAGTCACTTTACAACGAATGGCAACAGACGCAACAAGCCACGCCAGCTAATCCATCACTGTGAAAGTGTCAAGGGACTACACGCCCTGCGTGTCGCTGCACCGCTCCCGAAGGTCACACGACACTCACCGGCATTACATTAGCTTAGGTGGCTCGTAACGTCTGCCGCAATCCATCATTAAGTGAGATAGAGTGTACGCGAGGTAGCCTAGACTGACTGTCGAAGAAGGTCCACTGTTTAGATTGTAGGAAAAGCAAGGCAAAACAAAAGTAGAGTTCAAGAGGGCCTTGCAAAAGGAGCAAGTCCATCAGAGCATGCCGATGCCAAGACAAGCCAGCAAATCACGTAAACTCGCACATTCGCTTCCAGCCAGTATGCCAACGGCACAAATGGTGCACACTGCAGTAGCCAGGTACACTGTGTAACACAGTAGGAACACGTCGGCACTTTTTTGTAGCTTACCCAGACGATATTGAACAGTACCAACATCGGCATAGGCAGAGAGAATATTTCGGGGTTGACCCCCCCTCCCTCCAAAGCTTCGAAATTTACAGTTTAGGCTAGAACCCTGAAGACACATTTTACACCACAGTACAGTACCAGTCTGGATGACAGCCTTTTAATTCTAAGATAGAAACAGAAAAAACAGCAATTGCTTGTTCACGCTGACAGTGCCATGCTCTGTAGATATGCATACGCTGCAACATTATCCTCCAAAACACAGAATCAGCACTTAATTAAATTATAGCCGCCGACAAGTTGAGAAACGCAGGGTGCAGCGAGTCTCATGCATCTCATTATCTCTCCACGGCCAATAAGATTGCAGTATTATGGTCGAACGAGAAATCACAAAGCAAGAAGCTCGAAGGTAATAAGCCACGCCATGAGTATTCATTGACTACAAAGTGAAACACCAAACCTTACAGAAAAAATTGAAGGTTTTCTTCCTCAAGTTTAATTATCCATCGGTGGATCCTTAGGAAAGGCATTAGCATGACCCTTGAAAACGCCACACGAGTCTCCCTTTGAGAAATGATCTTTTGGCCTTCTCCTTTGGCTTTCTCTTTTGCTTCCTTTATATCTTGCTGACTCTTTTTGGGTTTGTTACGGGGTCAGTGTTAGCGTTTCCTAAAGGGAGACGTGTGCGGCGTTTCCCAAGGGCCATGCTAACGCATTCCCGAAGAATCCACCAATGAATCTTCCTTCAATTTTTTCCAGCGAACCCGCTTCGCCCCAACCTCTGTCGCACGCAGACCCGCGTCAGCTTGCTGCACTTCTTGCTCTGCAATTCAACTAGCCAAGCTAGGCGCTGTCTCTGCTCCTCTGTCTCATTCGCCCGCCTTGCACGCCTGGCTGCGGCATCCACTGCCCGATGCTACTTTCGCTGTTCATCAGTTTCCCGTGCCCGTATTGGCTTCCGCCCCGTGACGTCGCCTCCCTTTCGCCCTTGTCTTTCGCTACTCTTCTCCTCTTTTTGCGGTGCGCTTCCCTTTCCACTGCTTTGTCCACAGACAGCTGCCATCAGCATTTCCCTGTTGCCTTTTGTGAACAGTTTTTGCCATACAAGCTGCCTATTCATACTCCCGTTTGATTAGTAAGGAGGACGCAGGCAGTCCAAAACCGCGGGTGCGACGCGGCCGAGCCCCACTCACGGGGATGGAGCAGCTCATGAGCGAGGACCGTTGGTATGCCTTCATCATGAGTAGAAAGAGGTGCTTGGGGGGGTTCTTGAGGTCGATCTGCTCCGTCACTCCTCCCGTGAAGTCCTCCATGGCCTCGCAGGCAGAACCCCCGCTGAGGGCCTCGTAGCTCCCGTGCATTCTGCATTGACGAAAGGAAAAATAAAGTTTAGAAGCCATCGCGAGCCACAAACAGCTTGTACCGTAAAGGACACGATTTTTGAGAGGACCTAATTTTTGCAAATTTCGAGACTTGAAAAAATACTGCAAAAACGTTACCACGTCAAAGACCACCCTGCTGTAACCAATACATAGAAGACAGCTCCAAATTGCAAACTTTTGTGCTCGAGAAATGTTTCCGAAACACGTACTTCACCAAGTTCGCAAAACATAGAGCCCCCGAAAACAAAGTCATTTACCGTATGTGCATCCTAGTTCCAAGTTGCCTGGGTAGAAGTCAGCGATAGAATAAGCATTGCATGTTCTCTGATATCTGTGTATGTAGTGAAATCGCTGAACATTCATGCAGCTCTTCCAACCCCTGTTCACACATACACTACAACACTATACCTCAGTGCTATTAGCCAGCACCAGAAATAATCCTCACTATGCTGATGCAGTGGTAAGCACTATATTGGTGATGCAGTGCAAATATAGCAATGCGTCGATGATAAGTATACGTTCAAGTCGGTGCTGCATCAACACTGTTCCTAGCGTTGATTTAGCACTGCAATGTATGTGTGAACTGGCCATAAAAGTGGTAGAGACACTCTTAAGTTAGTAATCAACTAACACAAAATTAAGACAACACAAAAAACTGTTGCACATTAGTGTTACACACTACTGATGAAGTAGTTTTCTTGTCAAGTACCACTGGTCAGGCCAAAATCATATAATCCCAATAAGCAGTTCGGCAAAGCATCCAAAATTATGCACTCCCGTCTAGTTCCCCTAACGTTAGGAAGCGAGCAGATAGTATAGAAATGTCTCATTGTATGCAGTACTTTAAAGTTACCAATTCCCTTTTTGGGAACTTGAACAATTTAATGAGCAGTTTTTATTTCTTTATTGGTTGACTTCTAATATGTCATCTTCGAGGAAACAGTAGGTACTATGGGAGCTTTCTCAGGTTGCTGAGCTGTTGGTATTGGTTGTTGGCAAACAGCACTAATTGTTCGTTTGGCTAGAAAGACGAAGACCTCAGGTGCGAGTAATGTCTCCTCTTTGACCTACTAGTATCTCTCCACCCTTCGTTTCTTCATTCGTTCCGACGTTACCAAGCTCATCACAAGCCACAGCCTCTATTGTTCTATAAAAAAACACTAGGTACCGTGAACCTTACAAAACAAAATATGGCGACAAAGCGTCTGCTGGATGGATGCACACAAGTACGTAGAGACCGAAGCCAGCGTCTGCTAAAATCAACGCAGCAATTCTAGCCAAAGCCGTATGCGCTGATGCGATGGTCAACGCTGAGAATGGAAAGCGGTCGTCTGCCGAACCCTTGGTGGTTCCGGCAAGGTTTGGCGCAAGCTTGAACCTGAGATTATCAACCATTTTCCCCAAGCGAAACAAGGGGCAACTGCACGTATCATGCTGCCATCTGTTTGGAAGCCTATGTAGCTCGGTGCCTATTGCCCCATTTGGAAAATTACGTCAACTGTTGCTGGCTCCAGACTGCGCATTCGCATGTGTGTCAATACAGCAGAGGGTTCATTGCCATGATGATGGTGACCATAGCAGACGGAATTTATTATGCAGAAAGAGATTGCAGTGTGGCGAGATTGGGTGTGTGCGTCAGCACTTTCACCATGCTTAATAACGGGCAAAATGTGAGCAAAAAGTGTTTATCTAGCACCTAACATTCCAACAAGACTTGCACGAAGAGCAAGTTCTTTTTACTATATCCAGTGACCGGTTTTTCTGTTCCTGAAACATAGATTTAAAAACTTCCAAGCTTTCATTTTTAAGCTGGGCCACTAGACCAGTCATTCTCTCGATTCAGTGGCTGCCCGATTCCAGATATTGTCACAAATAGGAAGAACAGATGAATATAGAACTGGAAATAAATGTTTAATGAGATGAACTTGTGCCTACTAACTAAAACAGAAAAAGAACCAACCCGATGTGGCCAGTCGCGGCTACTTTTATACAGACTACTATATAGTCTAGAACGTTCTGAACAGGAACAAGCGATATGTTACAAAATTCTACTAGAACATCATAGAAGAGCTGCAAAAGAAATAAAAAAAACTTAGATGGTAGGGTTCAAACCCCATGCCTTCGTGTGGAAGCCGCACGCTATGCCAGCTCGGCCGTGCGCATGGCAATACGAGAGGGGTAAGAGGGGAGAAGCAACGCACTTGGCATATGCTTTCTCGAGGAGTGCGCTCCAGAACTCGTCTCCAGCGCGTGACTTCATGAAGATGAGCGCCCCGTCCATGGTGGGCAGCCGGTCGTCCACCACCACGTCGATCCAACGGTTGGCCTTCCAGATGCGGAAGTGGAAGATGCCCGCATAGTCCGAGTCGAAGCCCTGGTCCTCCGGCACCACACGGTAGAACAGCTCGTCGTTCAGCGTCAGGTTGGCCGCCGAGGCCACCATCCAGCAGTTGCCTGCAGCATTCAATAGAGCATGTTCAGCTTCAAGTGACATACAAAGAGACAAGTGTACTGCAGAAGTGTTGAAAACTGGACTGGATGCTACTAATTCATTATAAAGGATGTAAACTTGTCTCGATCATTCTGAGAAACCTAGGGAGCGTAAGATATGCCACGCTTGCATTACATGCATGTGTATTTTGATTTGTTATGGTTGATTGTGGAATACTACCTATATGCTTTGGGTGGTTTTCCTGCAGCATGTAGATTGGAGTAATGTATGAAATGGGCTTACATGTATGGACCACTCTCAAAAACTTAATTTGGTGACACCAAGAACAAATCTTTTTAAGGCTCACTCCACTTCGGTTGTCTATTTCAGGACAGAACTCTTTTTCAAAAAATGCTGCTATCAGCAAGTGTTCCAGCTTCAGAGCTACAGTTGCTACCATGCCTTGCAGCCTTCACCTCTGTGTTGTTTTTTTTTTTTTACTTTTTAAATTTGTTTTTTTGTATAGTGTGTGTATGCAGAGATATAGGGCATCTGCTACCAAAAACAGGGCTTATTTTTGGATAATATAAAAACACAATTTAAAATTATATGATTTTGAGGATATGAAAGTTTGCAAAAGCAAATGGGTTCCAGGGGTACTTTTTGGCTCTTATGATTGAGATCCAAGTATGTGGGACCCTAGAAGTGCTTGTAGCAGTTTTTCTGGAATCCGAAAAAAAGTGAATGCTCGAGGGAAACTCACCGACGCTGCCTTGAACAACGTCGAACCTTGACGCGCCCTCTACAAACAGCTTTGGATGTCGACATATTTCCTGGAAAAGATATCAGACACGAGCAGCAGCATGAGCAAGATCATGAGCAACATTATAAGGAACATTGTGAGCAACATTACAGGCAAAATCATGTGCAACATTGTGAGCAACATCACGACCAATATTGTGAGCAGCATAATGACCAACATCGTGAGCAACATCATAAGCAACATGAGCATTACACCAAACTTTTTCATCTATGGTTATGGGGGCCATGTAGTATGGATCCCGGGGCCAGGATCATATCCCTGCCAAGTGACTCGGAAATTAGATAGCATATGCCGTTTCAACCCCCACCAACAAAAAACAATGATGCCTTCAATCCTCACACACACCAAAATGTTGATTCATACTTTTATTACAATGAACTTAAAGGAAATCATTGGCTAAATATTGATGGTCATCCGTTGTTATAAAATTTTCACCATGATCCACCCCGAGTATGTCTACAAATTATCTCATCAAAATAAGAATTTTCTTGCAAGAAAACGAATCTGAAATTTACGCGTACACGCCCAATTGCTGGCTGCTGCGCTACTGCCAACGAGCAGGGGCACTTGTGACGTCAAATACTGGACCTAAGAACAGACAATGCTCGTTCCTCCATAAAATTGTGCATAATGGAGCCAGTGAGCATCTGTGGTTAGGCAGGTTGTGTGTGCTTTAGGCTGATTGCAGCATGCAACGGAGGGTGGGGATGAATTTGGAAATGCAGCAAAGTAACATTTCATCAATTTCCTTCCAAGAAGTCCTTTTTGACTGAAGTGGGTCCGAGCAGACTGACAAAGGTGCTGACTGAAGTGGGTTCAAGGAGATTGAAGTGGGTTCGAGGAGAAAGACACGAGTGCTGGCTCCTAGCGTTCCCGTTAGAACAGTTTACACAAAGCAAGCAAACAAAACCTTCCATATCATCTACTTCTGAAGCGACACCTGGCTTCATATGTCGGCAGATTGTGAATGTAGCTGCCACGGGTGGTCCTATGGGAGGCTGAGCCGGCGGATCAAATGCTAATGGTAAATCAACTGAAACATTGTGCTGAAAATCTTATAAAATTTGCTGGTCATTGCTGGACTCTGACAAACTCGATGAATTGTAGCCCGTTATTTCCCACGGAAAATCGCAACGGCCTTCTGACTGCTTCTGACGCTGGGCGAAACAGGCTCAAGCTGCCCATATGCTGATCCTCATACAACATCTGACCACGCAAAAAAATGGCAGACCAGTGAAGTTGCACGCTAGTTTTGGTTTTATTATTATCGTATCTCTATTCTTAAAAATTATTTTAGAAGTTTTGGGCAAATCATTTGCCCATAACTTCTATTTGCTACTTAAGGCTCAGTTTCTTGTGCTCTCTCAGAAAATATATTTAGTTGATAATGTTCACATTGATGCTGAAGGTATGCCATTTGCATTATGCCAAACATTTTTTTTTAAATTTAAATTACAAACCACATTGCTTCGAAATGAGCCGGACGATACTTCAAAATTCTGTTTCATTTAAATGACAAAAAAAGAAGCTATTTTTTAAGAAATCAAGCCCAGCTTGTCCAAACACTGGATTATACTTTCGGATAAAAGAAGTTGAAATAAATTCGGGGATGCGTCGACGAATGGAGCCACACAGAACATTTCCCCCGAAGTATACACTGCGTTTTCAAAATTATTTCAAACAAAAAATGAGGGCTCTGCCATTGTGCTGAACACAACACGAGACATTGTGCTCAATGTCACAGTGCACAGACCTCATTTTCCATGCTAAGTCAGATTAGAATCTAGCTTAATTCGGTGTAGCTTTGATGCACTCTGGTTAAGTTTGCCACACGTCTGCACTAATAAAATGGTTGTTACATGGTAACCATTATCTCAACCCAATCCTGCCCGTCATACAGCGTGATTGATCGGCGATGTGTTCAATACACGGATGTCACACCGCCGCAATGCATTCAGCCCGCAAGGGAGGCCGCTACACTGACAGCTAAACTGCCTACCAAGACTCCGAAAAGCACTAGTACGAAATTATGCAAACTTTTCTAACAACACTGTCAATTTCAAAGTATAATTACAGCGCCTGGAAAGCTTCTCCGACCAGTGTGTTTAGTGTCCTACCCTCCCCATACATAAGAAGTAGTCCCAAGTGGCAACAAATGACGTCAGAAAAGCCAGAGTGTCACGCTGCCGGATGTTGAAATCCTGGCGGTTGGCACACCAGCAAAAGGCACGAGCGAATGCGTCCCCGTTGTCATGGCATCCCAACTCCTGACTGCCGAGGCCTCTCTGGACTGTCAAATCAAGCTGAAGAGCGACCTGCAGCTGAACAGGCGTGTGGCACAACCACCACAGCTGCTTCGACTGTGGTGGTTGCGCCAGGATCATGGCCGGCGACATCGTGAAATTTCTATAACGGCGTCAGGTGGAAATCGAGGTACCATCGTTTTGGATGCAGTAAACACACCAGTCGGGGACGCGTTCCAGACACCAGAGTATAATCAGAAACTTTGGTACTAAAGAAAATATACATTTGGAGAATTTGAATGGTTGTAAAGAGTCCGAAGCCGTCAGCTCAATGAAGCCGCAGCGCTAGGCTTTCTATGCCAATCACTGGAGGTCAGCACAGGGCACAGACTGGACACAAAAGCTGCGTCAGTTTCGGCTGGGACTTGTGTGTAATCAGCGAGGACACGATTCCAGCCAAACATTGAAGCAGCAGTCATGTCCGATCTGCGCCCTGTGCTGACGACCACTGGTGGGTGACGCAGGTTAAGCAAAGCGGGACAAGCACGTCCTGCAAAACCCTCCACCCTTTCCACATTAGCAGAACGAACCCTGGAGAGAAGGGGAGTGGTTGATCAGCTCTTGTTTTTGAAAAAAGGAGAAAATAAAATTTTCTTACTGCAATTTAGGGCACATGGCATAGCAAATCACATCAACATGTTTACACACACATTACGTCAGATCCTCTACTTAACAAGAAAGTGACGATGTGACTGCGACTAATACGATACATCTTCGGAAGAAATTGCAATTCCCTAGGCATGTGCGAATAGTGGATTTTGTGTTTGAAGCGAATGAAGGCTTTGGGTGAACATTTTCAAATCAAAGATAAAACAGTTTCTCCAAGCCTTTCAATAACGTTGCGCCATGCTTAAACTGAAATTTAGTTGAACACGTAAAGGTTGTCCCCAAGCTTCCACTTGTCCACTACTAAGCTCAGTCAACTTTAAACTAATCATATTTAGAACTGTGTCCTCAAAAAGTCCAATACACACATTGGGGAAGCATGTAGAGAATGGATTTGACATAAAATTGAAGCTATTAAGCCTAGCCATACCTAACCGAAGGAATGTATATATCTTATTGCAATGCCTAAATATCCTTCAATCAATCTTGGGTTTAAAAAAAAGGTACAACACAAATGGCAAACACAGGTTCTCGGGACCTTTCTGCCTAACATATACTCACACATAATAACCAGAATAATTTTGAAACTTTTACTGCAATGCAGATATCAGCCTCCACGAAGCCTCCGTTTCTTTTTAAATAAACCAGGTGCGTAAGTGCACCATCCAGCTTTGAAAGTGTCATTTTTTGCTAAGCAGGCATGTGGTATACAAACTTTTCAAGGAGTTGATCACGGCGGGTTAGCCCCGTTGAGCGCATTTATTACAGAGCATCGGTACACTGCGCAAAAGCAGCACCCATGGAAGAAAGCTTGCGCGGGTGTTGCTTTTCCGCGGAGCGTCCGTGCACGGCAAGAAGCGCACTCAATGTGGCTAACCCGCCGCAATCATCCCTTGCTTTCGCGGAGGTTGCTTTTCCGCAGTGCACCGGTGCTCAATAAGAAGCGCACTCAACGGGGCTAACCCACCGCGACCAACATTTACGGGGCTAACCCGCCGCGATCATCCCTTGCTTTCGCGGAGGTTGCTTTTCCGCAGTGCACCGGTGCTCAATAAGAAGCACACTCAACGGGGCTAACCCACCGCGACCACTTTAGCGGCTGTTGCTTTTCCGCAGTGCACCGGTGCTCGATAAGAAGCGCACTCAACGGGGCTAACCCGCCGTGATCATCCCTTGCATTCGCAGAGGTTGCTTTTCCGCAGTGCACCGGTGCTCGATAAGAAGCGCACTCAATGGGGCCGACCCGCCGCGATCATCCCTTGCTTTCGCGGAGGTTGCTTTTCCGCAGTGCATTGGGCTTGATAAGAAGCACACTCAACGGGGCTAACCCACCGCGACCAACACTTGCTTTAGCGGCTGTTGCTTTCCCGCAGTGCACTGGTGCTCAATAAGAAGCGCACTCAACGGAGCTAACCCGCCGCGATCATCCCTTGCTTTAGCAGAGGTTGCTTTTCCGCAGTGCACGGGTGCTCGGTAAGAAGCGCACTCAACGGCCCGTCACGATCAACACTTAATTTCACTTGATAAAATGGAAACTTGGGCGAGTTGGTGAACATTTTCTGAGGTGCAGCGGTGTTCAGAAAGAAGCCCACTCAACGGGGCTAACCCGCCACGATCAATACCTGCTTTCGCGGCTGTTGCTTTCCCGCAGTGCACGGGTGCTCGGTAAGAAGCGCACTCAACGGGGCTAACCCGCCGCGATCAACACTTACTTTCACTTGATAAAATGGAAACTTGGGCGAGTTGGTGAACATTTTCTGAGGTGCAGCGGTGTTCAGAAAGAAGCCCACTCAACGGGGCTAACCCGCCGCGATCAATACCTGCTTTCGCGGCTGTTGCTTTCCCGCAGTGCACGGGTGCTCGGTAAGAGGCGCACTCAACGGGGACAACCCGTCACGATCAACACTTACTTTCACTTGATAAAATGGAAACTTGGGCGAGTTGGTGATTCATATTCTAAGGTGCATTGCTGTTCGGCAAGAAGCGCACTAAACGGGGCTAGCCCGCAGCGATCAACACTTGCTCCCGCGGCTGTTGCTTATCCGCAGTGCGCCGGTGCTCGGCAAGAAACTCGCTCAACGAGGCTCACCCGCCGCAATCA